GAAATGCCAACAAGCAGCTATGAAATAGCTACAAAGGAAAAGTATGCATGGACTGCATATTATGTTTGAAAAGCAAAATCATTTCTTTTTCAGAATTTTAAAAATCAGTACGCAAAGAAGACAGGATGGGAGAATAACAATAATGTTGTCTTAAATGTTCTAAATCTGTTAAAATAACCTGTGGGTGGGATCTACCACCACAAAGGGAGGGGGTAATTCCTCTCCCCTTGCAGTCCCTCAATACCTGCTCCAGAGAACTGGGGTCCTTCCACAGGACATCTGAGAGGGTAGGAAATTGCAGGTATAAAAGAAAGTCCTTCTGCATGAGCTTCCATTTCACCATTTAGTTTTTCCTGTCTCTCAGTTTTTAAATACCTATGTTCACATTCTTCTGCCTCTCTTCAACCGAAAATTTTAGCAAACTTCTTGCATTTGTTCTTAATAGTGTACTCTTATGCATGTCTGCTCTGAAGCAAGCCCTAATGGTTTGATGGAGTTTACTCCAAGGTATGGGATATAAGATCAAATATACTTGCATATTGCAATACTAGCTTGTAAAGGGTGGTTGTACCTAGACCTGTCTATATTTCTAAAACCTTAAATGCTAACCTCGCATATTTGATGAAGCAGGTTTAGAAGGACAGAAATTCATGCTGCCATACCTTTAACCTTATTTAAGGTACCATAGCATTTTTAGATATATTTCATGATAGATAAACAGAGAAAGCCCTCTTTGAATTATTAATTAATTGCCAAAATTTGCATAAGGCAATGTCACAGCTTGGGGGATCTATATTATAAGCAGATTTTAAAATTCATAGTAAGAGTTAATACACTTATAGTTCTGAGACCATACATCTCATTTGGAAAATAAAATAGCATTATTTGTAAAAGCATGCTGTATCCCTCTCAAAAACGGAGATTTACATGCGAATAGCCAAGCTCTGCAAATCAAAGCAATGCACATAGCAGTGGAAAAATAAATCTCAAAAAGAAATTGCTTATTTTCAATTTTCAGGGAGTTATTACATATTTTAAAAATGCACTGCACGATGTAGAAGTGGCAACTTTTGGCCTTCCAAATGTTTTTGCCTACACTTCCCACCAGCTATAGCCCACAAAGCCAATGACAAAGGATCATGGGAGATGTAGGCCAAAATATATTGTGAGCCACAAGTAATCCACCCTAATATAAATGATTCAAAATATGCCACCAGAATGCCCTTTAATATAAATGCTGTTTAGGTTCTTAAATTTACACCAACCCATTCCATTTACCCATTTTCCATCAGGTTTGACTCCCTTTTACTATCAAAACCCTTCTTACTAAGCAGTTTGACTCACTGCCCCAAGACACAACTATACCACAAGCTAGAGAGAGTAAATGGAAAATGCTCTATATGTAACCCAGATCAGTCAGAATTTAGCCAAAGGATTCTTAGGATTGATGGGGTCTGGAAGCAGCTGTCTGGGCAACAACAAAATTTCATCAACCCTCGAAAATATTCCTATTCTCACATGTACAAGTGACATAAGCTACTTACTCTGGACCCCTACAAAACTTTCCATTTCCTGTACAACCTGGTCCAGTCTGCACGAAGGTACCCCTGTCAGCAGCACATTTAATATGAATGGGGAACGGGTCAGTCATCCCTCACCACTTTCTGTTCCCAGTCAATCAGCCTAATCAATTCCCTACTCAGTTTCCTTTAAAAAAAAAAAGTGATTTTCGAGGGTTGGGTTACTGTATTTAAGTCATGCAGGCTAGTTGGCTGCCATGCTAACTTAAGCCAAAGCTGCATACAAAAGAGTCTGATGACAAGAAGAAAAATACAACCAAGGGTAGCTGGGTAGTTCTCTCCATCCATTTCAGTTGATTACTGACACAGAAATTGTGAATCAACTGTCACACTGTTAAATGATGTGAGCTGTTCAAGTATCTGCAATAGTAAGAGAAGCAATAGTGAGACCTAACACACTTCTCTGTGGGTGGAAGGGAAGAGAGATTTCACCAAGCTAAGATAATGTCTTTTATTCTGAATAGTTACAGACCCCTGAGAACAGGTAAGCTTGAGTCTGGATTCAAGAGTGTTGAATAGTTGAGTGCTCTTTCCATTCCCACAGGACATACTTTTATCCCATGTTGTTAAGTAATTTCCATGTTGCAGTAAAAGAACTTCACCACATACGACACATTCCTTAAAATTAACTTTAACGAAGACCACGTTCAGAATTACTTGCTCAAACAGAAACAGCAGTCACTAGAGGAAAATGTAAATGTTTCAGAGAAAAAAATCTTGGACAACATTGCATCTGGAGTTTCCTCATAGTTAATTTGACCATTACCATGTTGCTCTCTGTGTTATGGTTGTAAAGGTGAAGGTGGCTATTTTTCAGCTCCAGACCGGGGGATACCTATAGTCAATGGGGTAAACACTCTCTGGTTTTGTTTTACTCATCAGAGCATGCTCAGAATGATCACTGCAACGCCAAAAGCTTGAAACCTGAGAACGATACCCACAACCCTTGACCCCAGTAAGCATGGTGGGGAACTGCTTCCTGCCTGAAGGCCAAACTCAGTTTTAGGGAAGCTATTGGAAGCTCACATTCCAGCGGCAGGCCAGGAAAGAGAGGCAGGGAGAAAGATAAACTGATGCTGAGAGAAAGAGTCGTGATCTTCTGGAAAAGGCTGAATTGGGACCCAAGGAGGCACCGATTAGTCCTGAAGTCTGCCACCCCATCAAACTTTACCACTCATTAGGCAATCATCTCTCGTAAAGCAAGGCCATCTACAGTAAAATACGTATATTAAGCAGGCTTTCATAATTTAGTTCTTCTTTTCAAACAAGAAGAGGGGGGATAAAAACTTCAGGGCGGGGGAAGCTTCTTGATATAAATCTTGCTTCTCATAGTTCTGCATTAATGTTGAGATGACTAATTTTCTATGAAATGATCAGATCTCAGTGGAGAATCATCAGGATGAGAGCTGGTGACTAGTGGAGTCCCCCAGGGCTCAGTTCTGGGACCAATTCTGTTCAACCTCTTTATCAATAACCTGGAGGAGGGGGTAACCAGTCTGCTGACCAAACTTGCAGACAATATCAAAGTGGGGGTGGTGGCCACAATGGAGGAGCAGGCACTCAGGATGGCGTTCAAGGTCTCGCACCTGGGACTCAGGAATAGGTGCCATAGGTACAGAATGGGGGACAAGTGGCTGGAGAGCAGCACTTGTGAAAGGGATCTTAAGATGTTTATTGATAGCAAGCTAAACATGAGCAGACAGGGTGAAGTGGCATTTAAGAAGGCAAACACCACCCTTAGATATATAACCAGAGGCGTGATTTCCAGATCCAGAGAGGTGCTGGTACCACTCTGTAAGACTCTGGTGCACTCACGGCTGAAGTACTGTGTCCAATTCTGGACTCCACATTATAAAAGAGATATAGCTAGGTTAGAACCAGTTCAGTGCAGGGTCACGAGGATGGCAGCCAGATTGTGGGGGATGACATATGAGATTGAGGGAACTGGGTCTTTTCAGCCTGGAGAAGAGGATACTCAGAGGGGATCTGATAGTTGCATATAGGTATGTGAAGGGGTATCACAAGGTAGAGGATTGTGACCTGCTCTCCCCTGCCGTGGAGGAATGGACATGGTCCAAAGGGGCAAAGTTCAAGGAACCAGGCTTCAGGTTGGATATCAGAAAGTACTTCCTGGTGGTTAGGACCCTAGGATATGGAATGGGCTTCCATGGGAGGTGTCTGGAGCCCCATCGGTGAGTGTTCAAGAAAGGCTGGACAAGCATATGTTGGGTATTACCTGAGCAGAGCCAGCTGGAGCCAGGGGTCAGACTAGATGGCCTAGGAGGATCCTTCTGACTCCCTATGTTTCTATGTTTCTATGTTGCTATGTTATCTAATTATAAGAGTGGGTACATGATACAGGATGATTCTGGCAAGTTGCCTTTTTTGAAATTCACTAGTGCAAACATGGGTAACTTGTGGCCCTCCAAACGTTTTGCCCTGCCACTCTCATCATATCTTCTCACTGGTATGTAAGTTTTGGACAATGGGAGTGAAAGGCCAAAACATCTGGGTACTACAAATTGCATACCCCTAAACTAGTGAAACTATGGCTTAATTGTAAAGATTGTTGGAACATTTGTAATTCATACTATATGCAAAATGTACTATTTATTACACCTCCCATGCCGTAACTATTGTCTACAGTTCAACTTGTTGATAAATCTTGGAATTTGGGTCATAAACAGCAAAGAAAAAAATTCTGAAGAATACATCTGAAATATTTTTTTGCGGGGGGGATTTCATAACTAAGGTTTAAAGTGGAAATGTATATTACACACAGTTTTGCTATTCCTTTTAGATTTTTATTCTTTTATTCTGTGTGGCCACTGAGGATACAAATTGAAGAGCAAGACTCATGCACTTTCAAGGCATTTTTAAATCTTAAGCTGTCTCTCCTGGTGAAAACTGTTTATTACCACTAGGGAATAGATGTAAGAAACCCTATGTTTTAACCAACAGGAGTAGAATCATCTGGGGGAAAGTAGCACAACAGTCAATAAGCCCTATCAACTCCTACCCATAAGTCTTCCTTTCAAAGTGCAGCTTCAATTGCAGCATTGCATTTTTCAAAACATTTCTGAGAGGCATAAGAAAATTACACATGCTGTGTAATTCTGTCCTCAGTTAAACGGTAAAGATTATTATTAAATTTACCCTAATAAAGTATGGAAGTTAGCCAGAAGCAAAGACAGTACTAGATGCCCTTAAGCCCATAGATTTCAATGTGACTTAATATGCCTAACTTAGCATTGGCTTGTGGCCAAACTCTACAGCATCACTCACACGGTGTTCATGCCAGCTTTGAATTCTCCATAACTAAAATGTGTCTCTCCTTAATAAAGTAACTCATCTATTTGCAATGCTTTTAAAAATGGCAGCACTACAAGAAATTCCATTTGTGGTTTATTATAGCCTTACCACTGAGCAAAGGTCTGTTAAGCATGTAGAGAGGTGGTAGATCTTCTATCTCTGCTATCCGTTGGTATACGGCCCTGGATAGATGATCTCCATGGTATAGGCTCCCCAAGATAATGCTAGAGAAGTAAATTGGCTCCACAACAAGGCTAAGTAATGCCCCTTGAATACCAAGTACATTCCACCTATAAGGAAGCAAATGATATTGAGTTAAGAATACAATTCATGTTGGCAAATAAGCCAAACATGAGTAATTATAGGAGGAAGACTGTGATTTTCTCTTGTGCCATTGTTCCTACATCTTCCTTCTTGTACATTTAAATGAAACAGTGTCATTTCAGGATTTCTTGCACCTCTAATTTATCATTAGTGCTGAACCAAGTCACTGCCTTCACAGCCCAACATTACTCTTGCAACTCATTTCTCAGCCTCCTGCAAAAGCATACCTTGTGTCATATCATCAGAATCACAGAAGGGTTAGAAGGGGCCAGAGGGCCATCAGGTACAACCACCTGTTCAGTTAAGGATCCCAGGTTAAATCATCCCTCTCAGATGGCTCTCCAGCTGCATCTTGAATGCCTCTCAGTGGGAAAGGCTTCAACCACCCTAGGTCATTGGTTGCATTGTCATGCTGTTCTTCCTAATGTTCAGTTGGAAAATGGCCTTCTGTAACTTGAGCCTGTTATTCCATGTCCTGCTCTCTGGGGTGATTAAGACGATCCTGTCTTGCTGACAGCCTTTCTGGCACTTATAGACTGCTATCTTATTTCTCCTCAGTCTTCTCAAGGTTAAACATGCCCAGTTCTTTCCACCTCTCCTCATAGGATTGTTTCTAATCCCTGGATCATCCTTGTTGACCTCCTCTGAACACTGTGCAGATTGTCTGCATCTTTCTTAAACTGTGGTGCCCAGAACTAGACACAGTACTCCAGATGAGGCCTAACCAGTGCTGAGTAAAGGGGAACTAATACCTCATGTGATTTAGAAGTGATATTTCCATTAATGTAGCCTAAAAAAATTGCCCTTTCTGCAGTGACATCACATTGTTGGCTCATATTCAGCTTGTGATCTACAACAATTACAAAATTATTTTCACTTGCAGTATTGAGCTAAGTATTCCTCATCTTGTACTTTGGTTTCTTTTTCCTAGGAGCAGAACTTGGAATTTGTCTCTCTTACATTTCAATCCATTATTTTCAGCCCATCACTCCGACCTATCATCACTTTGAATCTTGTTTCTGTCTTCCAGCATATTAGCAATCCCACCTGGTTTTGTGTCGTCTGCAAATCTGATAAGCATCCCCTGTACTTCCTCATCCAAATCATTAATAAAAATGTTGAAGAGCACTGGGCCAAGGACTGAACCCTGTGTTAACCCACTTGTTACCTCTCCCCAGTTTGAGAATGTGCCATTGATGAGCCATTGAGTCCAATTCTGTAGCCAACTGTGGATTCACCTGAGAGTCTTTCTACCTTTATCACTTTTAGCTGGTTTGTTAATCAGATTATCATAGGCTACTTTGTCAAAAGATTTGTTGAAGTCAAGATAGATTATATCCACAGCATTCCCACAGTTCACAGGTTACCCAATCAAAAAATGAACTCAGATTAGACTGGCAGGAGTTGTTCTTGAGAAATCCATGTTGGCCCCTAGTCATTACTGCATTGTTTTCAAGGTGCTTTCAGACTGACTGCTTTATAATCCGCTCCAGAATTTTCCCATGGATTCATGTCAGACTGACTGGTATGTACTTCCCAGGATCTTCTTTTCTTTTCTCTTTTCTTTTCTAAGACAGCAACAACATTTGCCTTTTCCAATCATCTGGCACCTCCCTTGTCCTCCATTATTTCTCAAAGAGAAGAGACAGTGGTTCTGGGTCTCCTTCCACCAGCACCTTTACCCAACCCTGGCATCTACTCATGGTGAAGTTACTGTGAAGATTGTGGAAATGACAACAAAGGATTTAGAATATTACATAAATGTAGTTGATAAAACAGCAGCAGGGTTTGAGAGGACTGAGTCCAATTTGAAAAAAAAAGTTCTACTGTGGGTAAAATGCTATCTAACAGCATTGCATGCTACAGAGAAATCTTTCATGAAAGAAAGAGTCGATTAATGTGGCAAACTTCATTCTTGCCTTATTTTAAGTAATTGCCTCAGCCACTCCAGCCTTCAGCAACCACCACCCTAATCAGTCAGCAGCCGTCAACACTGAGACAAGACCCTCCAGCAGTGAAAAGTTTATGATTGCCTGAAAGTTTAGATGATGGTTAGCATTTTAGCAATATTTTTAAAGTAAGGTATGTACATTTTTAGACATAATGTTATTGGACACTTAATAGACTACAGTATAATATAAACATAACTTTTATATGCACTGGAAAACAAATAAAAGTGTGACTTGCTCTATTGCAGTATTTGCTTTATTGTGGTATTGTGGTGGTTTGGAACTGAACCTGTAATATCTCCAAGGTAGACATGTGTAGAAATAAGGATATCTGGGAATTCATGAACATTTTTTTCCTTTGACAGTGTAAAATTGTCCTTCTAAAGGATATTCAGCTGCTCTAGTAGTCATGTATGGTTTTTCATGCATGCAAAGTAGCAATAGCAACATTTAACAATCTAGGGTCTAGCAATGTAAACAAGTTGTCAATTTGACAGAAGAGAAACAACTTACCGAGCTATCTTATCACTGCATGACATAGTAAGCAATCTTTCTCCCTGCAGTACTCCATCCCATGTCTGAATTGTAGTTGTAGATCGGACAGGGATCGTTCCTTCCCCAGATTCAATTTTAGTTCGTAACTGTCCTCTTGCCTTCCGGTTTGGATGTCTGTCTCCCTGATCTAATTGACAGAAGAGGCCACAGTTTACCAATCATGAAATTAAACATTAGTGATTTTGGTCCTGATAACTGTGTTTTAAGAACATTTAATACTATTTTCAATTATTTCGGACAGCAGGTACTTCTAAGACTTGGCTTTTATAATCCTGCCTTTTTCATAGATTTTTAAGAGAAGTCTAGACAACATCTTTCACATGTAACCCTCCTGTGTTTTAACACCGCTCACCACAGAAAATTTGGTATGAAGGGAAAGCCAGAATAGCTGCACAATGACTGTACTAGTTACCCTCTATCAGGAATCACCCAAGGAATACATAGAAAATAGCAAAAACACAAAGGGGACAGCAGTTTGGAAAACAGTGCCATGCATTAAGAAATCTGTAAAAATCACATTTATACTAATTCACATTGAAGACTCCCTTTGCGAGATTTACTTTGCACATTTCATAATTCCGTTATGGTCTGAATATTTTAGAACAAAACCACACCTTTATATTTAAACTTTCAAAGTGGCTTACAATTCCATAACAAAACACCTTCAAATAGGAACAAACATGTTCACACACACATGACCTCTATAACAGATGTATTCCAAGATGATTTTTGTAATGTAGTAAATGGTCTTAAGAAAATTTATCCTATATTCACTGCACTTATTCTATAATGTGAGGAAATTTAAACGGTTCAGAGAAAAGACTCTCATAAATTATGAAAGCGAGTACTGCTACTGTTGGTAAGTGATTTTATCTCACGCACCTCCATACGTAAGGAAAAATAACCGTACCTTCTTGTGCAGCTTCATGTGGTGAAAAAATCCGAGCATCGCCACAAGGGGAGGTACTGATGTAGAGATGGAACTGCACGTTTTCTTTCAATTTAAAGCCACCTTGTTCTGACTTCGTAAAAATAGATTTTTGTTGATCTTCCTTATTGCTGAAAGAAAAAGTTATTCTGAAGGGTTCATTTCAAAAATAAAAAGTTTTGCATATCTGGATTTAAAGTGTTGTAGTATCTGCTATAATAAATGAAAATATTGGACTGAGACACCTACCTAATGATGATTTCTGCTTCCACAGGTTCTCACACTTGCCAAGTCTCACAACTAGTAATCCTCAACATTACTTTAAGAACATGTTTTCATATTTTTCCCCAAGTAAATCTGTATAATAACCATGTTTCCTCTACATTTCAGCCTGATGCATGTCAAAGGAAAACAAAAACAAAGATCTTGGCTGGATCAGACCAAAAGCCTACCTAGTTCAGCATTCTATTCCCACAGCACCAACCAGATGCCCATGAGAAAGCCACAAGTACGACATGGATGCAACACCATCCATGGACCCATGTTCTCCAGCTGCTGGCATTCAGATGCATACTGCTTCTCATAGTTAGTAGCTATAGCTTTATGCTGCAGAAATCTGTCTAATCCCCCTTTTAAAGCAATCCAACTTGGTGACCATTTTGTGGTAACAAATTCCATATAACTATGTGATGTGTGAAATTCCTTTCATCAGTACAGGATTCCCCACCTTCATGGGATGACCCTATTGGGTTCTGGATCTTGGCAGAGCAGCAGAGGCTGGGTAGTTTGCAGAAGGTGGCCAGGGAACTGGCAAAGGCAAGGTAGGACCTTAGGGACAAGTGAGGGGAGATGACAAGGGTTTTGGGAACAGGATGCTAGAGGTACTGCAGGGGCAGGTGGGACTCCTTTGAACAGGGGCTGATATCAGGGAAGATGGGAGGAAGGAGAAGACTGGGGGATCCAAAGAATGGGATCTGTGGGAAGGAGCTAAGATACATGTACACCAATGCGAGGAGCATGGGTAATAAGCAGGAAGAGGTTGAAGCTCTCCTGGGAATAGGAGGTTAAGACCTGGTGGGGATCACGGAAACTTGGTGGGATGAAAGGCAAGACTGGAATGTAAACACAGAGGGGTATCACCTGTTTAGAGAGGGCAGGAAGGAAAAGAGGGGCAGGGGCGTAGCTTTATATGTAAGGGAAGGGACAGGATGCAGTGAGATAGAATGCAGCGCAGATGGGGATCTGGTAGAGGCAGTCTGGGTGAAACTAAGGGGTTTTGACAGGGAGAGGGACCTGACAGTGGGGGCATGTTATCACCCTCCAGGTCAACTTGAGACCCTGGATGATGTCCTGACAGATCAAATTCTAAGGATATCTCTTGGGGGAAGGACACAGTAACTATGGGAGATTTCAGGTTCCCAAATATTAGTTGGGAGACTCACTCAGCGGTAGACAGATAACAGAAGAATGAACTAGTTTTTCCATAATGCTTCCAATACAACTCTGGGTACTATTTCTTGATATGATAGAATTTATCTTGTGAGTAACATATAATGCATTTTAATATACTTTGACAAGGTGATTTTTTTTAAAAAAGTGGAACAAAGGTTCAAATTAGAAGCCACATCTCTCAAGTGAGATTAGAATAAGATGAGTTTGATTGCACAAGCCATCCTGAATGCCCAGAAGTAAACTTTGATGAGCTTCAAAAGCTATACAAAATCTTGGGTTTTCACAAATTAGGGAAATTTCTGGACTTATTCCTGGACCATTAATTTAATCATCCTGGGGACATCACTCCAGGGCTGGAATATGATTAGTATCAATATGCTAGTTATTAAGCTGTTTATTAAGCTGGAATGTGCTTAGTATTAGTATGTTAGAACAAGGACTGAACAGATGTAAACAAAACAAAACAAAAAACTAAAACTCAGAATGGGCCTATATGCTTGCCCATCTAAACAATCTCCTCTGATGTAAATATATCCATGAATATATTCAGATTTTGCTAAGTAGATTCTACATATAACAAAATGTGTATCAGGAGAATAGGCTTTAAATGTGATGTGTCTAAACATCCTTTGTCTAAGTGTGTCTATAAGCTATATCAATTTTTCTAAAATCTTTTTCATTGCCCAGGAAGTCTCATGTGCAACTATTGGGTATGGTATATAAATTCAATAAATAAATAAATTTCATTCTGAATTCTTTGAGAGTGATACATGAGTAGAGATAAAATAGAAATATAAAATAGAAATCAACAGTTTGGAGGCATAGACAAGCATCAGCCAAATGAAATTCAAAGTGCTCTATTAATGAAGATTTTGCCTAACCATAGTTAAAAGCTTTGCCCAGTTGTTTTTCACTGCGTCAACAAAATTGGATCTCAGATATACATCTGTTTCCAAACCTAAAAGTGTAACAGAATTTTAGATTTATATCCTGCCTTTTTTCTTAAAAAGAACTCAAAGCAGTTTATATCATTCTCATGCTCTTGCTCTCAATCTTATCCCCATGATAGCCCTGTGAAGTTGGTTGGGCTGAGCATCTATGACTAGCCCAAACTTACCCAATAGGCTCCATGGCTGAGTGGGGATGAGAACCCAGAATGCCTGAGTCCCTTTTCTGTGATCTTAACCACTATACCATGCTGCCTATTTTGTCTAATTTTAATCCTTTAAAATTTCATTTCAATTTTCTTGTGCTTTACTTCAAACTTGAAATCTCACTGGTGTAAAGGATCAATTTCTATAGTTTTGGGATAGAAATTTCAAAACCAGGAAGATATAAATCTATCCCCTACAGCCTTGTTTCATGCTAGGAATTAACAGCCTTGATTCCCCTAATTGCTGCCTGATAGTCCCTGCAAAATGCTCATTGAAGAAGGCAAGTCAAAAGTATGCACACAGCTACACCCATCCTAATCAGGAAATATTTGGATCTCATATTATTTTTCACCATAAATTATTATATACTACTTAATTCGGGACAGTAAAGGTCTTGTCTATATCAAGTTGCAGGAATATAGGCAAGGGATTATTTTGTTTTCAGTAGTGAAGTATGTTTACAGTCCTGCAGATATTATCTGAACTTGTCTATATGAAATAAATCCATGTTGAGTGTGGTTAGCATAAACGATGAAACATAGAAGCAGAATGAGTCAAAAGGGGCTTCCTGGGCCATCTAGTCTGACCCTCAGCTCAAACCAGCTCCAGTCATGACATGCCTACCACATGCATATCCAGCCTATCCTTGGACACCCTCACCAATGGGGCTTCAACAACCTCCCATGGAAGCCCATTCCATACCCTAGGGGTCCTAACAATCAGGAAGTACTTGTGGAAGAGAAGGAGCTGGAGCCTAGAGGCTATTAAAGATGTAAACATTTTACTTTCTCTGTTTCAGGAGGAGACAGGGCTCAATCATTATCCTTACCTGGCCTGCATATGACTAGTATTCCCACTTCCCTCTAAATAGAGAAGATTGTTCCCAAAATTATTTTAAAGGTTTCCCCAAGTTTAAAAAGCAGTTTACAGTATTCAGAGGAGCCATTCAAGAGGAAACAGATCCAGGTAAGCTTACAAATCTGATTCACAGGCACTTATTGCTTCTGGTCATTACATCTTCTAGTGTATACTTAAACGTAAAACAAACCATAGATTTCTATACGTTTGTAAATACCAATACCGTACACTATGGATCCTTTGAAAATAATGATGCAGGTTTAACTAGTGCAATATTAACCAATATAGGTGAAACTAAGCTTCAGTCAGTGCAGGTGTCAGACTGAAGAGTCAGCAGAAGGAAATGATTCTAGGAGCATTCAAGCACAGGGATCTCATCTTCAGAGTTATTATTTCGGCATACTGAAATCTGCAATTCTAAACACTATGTGATCAGTGGAAATTGCTTCTGTGCTAAGACCAGGATGTGAGGAAATTGTTTGCCAAACATACCTTAAGAGCAGTTCAAGTTGTGTATAGAGAAATTTAAGCAGGCATCGCCGAGCTATAATTTCTGCGTGGCAATCATTCAGTGCAAGACCACGATCACTCATGTATTCTCCATTAATACACTTTGTTCCTGTAGAAACACTTATAACCTGAGCATCTTTCACGTCAGTACCTGTAAAACAAGTTTTAGGGAGAAAAGACATTTTAAAAAATTCAGAAGATGTATTTCCTTACATACCTATTCCGTTGTATGGGCTGATCTGCTTAAACATGAGGCTTGTGAGATCCTACATAGCCACAAAATGTTGCATTATATGCCTTTCAAGCTATTCACTAGTCATTCATACTTCAAAGGCAAACTTGGAAGAGAAATGAAGTCATAAAAAACTGCTTGTTACACTCTGAGTTGTCTTGCTCTATAATCATAGAAAAATCTTCAAAATACAGAGAGTTTGGAATCCACATTTGATATTGTCTAAGTCAGAATGAGGCTTGGACAGTGTAAGGCCAGATACCATATCCGCATCTATCACATTTGTGCAGTTAGAGTTTTATTTAGAAAGGAGGAATATGATCTGTCTGTGCTCTCCATATAGTTTGATCACTTCTAGACTCCTACTACAGGTGACAGAGCCAAACCTGTTCATTTAAGCACACATCTGCCCTGTCACATATGAAGCATGGTTATGTGTGTGTGAATGTTAAAGCAAAGAGTGGTGAGTGTGGGAGATGTGCAGTCTGTACCCACTGATGTTTTTCTACTCATCCGATGTCTTAAGGCCTAGCCACCCATCTGTCACAAGGTTCAGCATCCTGTGCAAAAAGGCCAGTGCAAGTACGCCTGTGTGAGACATATTATGACCATGGTGTGGAGGGCGGCTTTCACTCTTTGCTCACACCATGGTCCTGATTGGATTTTCCCCCATTCCCCCAGTTTCTATTCACCCTGAGAGGAAAACTCACACTGGTGCAAATGGGAGCTCTCATCCCACTGTGAATAGTAGGCTTGGGATGGAAGCTGTGTGGATTCTGACCTGGACCATGGCAAGGGTAAAAGGTTAAAGTTTCCTCCCACAAACACCACTACCTCAGCCTCACATACCCCTGCACTTAGTTCATTGCTGTATTTTACAGCTCTATAATGCCAAATGAGGGGATGAGCTGAGAGAAAAGAATGGACGATGGCGGTTACAAGGTACTAAACGATGGCCTCAGGAAGAGTTCGTCTTATTTAGCATTTTTAGTATTTATATCACACAATTTTTCTTGCTTAGGAACTCAAGGCGGCTGACATAATTCTCCTCTCATCTTATTCTCCCAACAAGTAGATTGGGCTCAGAGTCCGTGACTGGCCCAAAGTCACCCAGTGATCTCCATGGCTAAGTGGCAACTAGACCTCGGATCTCCTGAACCTCATTTCCATACCCTTAACCACTATAGCACATGGGGAAAGACTAAGAAACAGGTAGGAGAGTTTATGTTGAAAGAATACCTGAACAGGAAAACATAACTTGAGACTAAGGGGCATGCTATAGTTAACTGGGCTACAATGAATATGGCATAAAGTGGTAGGTAAAATAGCGCCTGGTTTTATTTTCAGGGATGAAGTTTTCATTTAACACAGTAATAATAAATACCCAAAAATTTCCATAATCAAGAGCAGCACATCTGACTAGGGGTAACATAGGCCTGAGTAGAAACTAACAATTAGGAATCAACGTTTTTGCTGACACACATGCTGCACACAAGCTGCAACATTTCCAGAGAAGTAGTTTCCTGTGGGGTATAAATATGTTTAGTTTGTAGAAGTATAATTTTCACTACTCAGTTCCCCAGGAACTCTTTGATCCTTCGAGTTCATGCACCTATACTTGCAGCCCCTATGATTCAGTTTTTCTATGTCTCATTCTCTTGCAGGGTGGATGTGATTTAAATGATTTAGTCAGTAAGACTAAATTTAAAACATGATTTTCTACATAATTTGCATGCCTGCCTTATTCATAGGTAGAGGAACTTCATTAAAGTATTTCCAAACTGGGTCTTTTTTATAGCCTGCTGCCATTATAGGCTTTCCTCTTCCAGGGAAAGAATATGAGAAATAGCAAGCTATACGAGCATACTCAAAGAGATCCAAAGTGATCCAAAGGATCTTTTCTTGTGGAATATTCTGCTCAAAAGGTTCACTTTTATGTTTACTGTCCCCCCCGCCCCCCGCCGCCGCCGCACAGCTTTTTATGCAGATCTATTCCACTCCCAACAATCTTCTATTCACTGAATTTTTGGAACTTAACACTTAATTGGTAAGGGGTTGATTCTGTGTGCATAGATTTGCAAAGGTACAATGGGATCAAGGTCTTGTTCTCAACTTTGTATGTTTATTTTATAACATTTTTGCTGGGATAAAGAGGCATGTAATCTCTGCAGACATAAATTCACAGTTTTGAGAACTGCAAAACCAAGCATCTGTGATAATATCTTCTAGACAGAAAAATTGCCCAGGAATCGTACAGAAACTTCTGGAAGAGCATGACATGGTGAATGTTTTAATGAAATTCATTTACCAAGATTTTAAACATTGCTACATCATTAAAAATAATTCTTATTTCATGATGAATAACCTTTGGATTATAATGTATCTTAAGCAGAAAACTATCTTTTGATAGATTTTTCCTCAAAAAGCATTTTATTTTTAAAAAAATCCAATTAAAAATGTAAAAATCTAATTTGAATTTCATTTTTTTAAATAATTGATTTTTATCCACTCTGCTCTCTTGACATCTATTTCCATGAAGGTAAAAAAAGCTAAAAAGCTTGTGTTGGGACCCACAAGCCTTCTACCAAAAATTTTAATACTGGTCTTATCACCAGTGGAGCCATATTTATTTAAACTTCAAAGCTTACCATCCACTCTCCTACTATATACATTATTTATGATTTAAACTAATAGTTCTGTGATAACATTTGTAGTTTGAGTCTAAAATTTTGATTCTGTTTTAACCAACAAGAAATTTTATCTGTGGAATCCCAGTACTACCTGTTAAAGCAAAGAATGATGATTTTGCTGGTACACAAAATCTATCTAGTCCATTAGCATTTTCCCCTCCCCATCTTTTTATTCAAGAAAGTCAATTTTTAAAGCGCTGTACTTCGATGACTTGTCTAATGAACACTGGACACTATTCTCTAAAATTTAGGAAACAAGTATATATTGTGACAATGTGTTGGGCCTTCAAGATACATTCCCTGACCATCCAATCATCTACTAAACAAAGCAGTACAGTAAGTTTAGACAGGAGGGGATCAGAACTTCAGAACTGATGATACTCCAGAAGTGTGGGTCTAAGTTCTGTCGTCCCTGGCCTACAGCAGGGGACCTCAAACTTTTTAAACAGGGGGCCAGTTCACCGTCCCTCAAGACTGTTGGGGGGCCGGATTACAGTTTGAAAAAATATGAACGAATTCCTATACACACTGCACATTAAAAAATTAAAATTAATTAAAAATTAATTAAAATTTTAAAAATTAAAAAATAAATGTTTGCTCCGCTCCCTCGGGCTGTAGCAGAAGCCCAAGATGAGGTGGGGAAGAGCCTTCTCTGGGCAAGCCGCAGCTGCCTCGCTGAGCCCGTGGGCAGCTGCTTGACGGCGGCTTGCCCATTGAAAGGTGGGGCTCCCGCGCCTCCGCTGCAAGCTGTGGCCGCCTCACCAAGCCCAGATGCAGCCACTTGATGGCAGCGGCAGTCTGCCCATTGAAGGGCACAGCTCCCATGCCTTTCAGTGAGCAAGCCGTGGCTGCTTCGCCAAGCCCAGGGGCAGCCACTCGACAGCAGCGGCAGTTTGCCCATTGAAGGGCGCAGCTCTGGTGCCCCCGGGGATGTGGCTCACATACTTAAAAATTGATTTTAAAAGTTATAAGGTAAGTTTTCTTACCTTCACTCCCTTTTTAGCGTCTTCGTCTCTCTCTCTCTCTCTCTTCCACCCTCTTCTCTTCTGTTTCCCACTCCGTACTCCCACTCTGTATATGCATGCAATGGGGAAGGGGAGAGAGCTAGCGCATGCACAGTTGAGCTTTTACAATTAGGCTCATGTGCTGGCTCTCTGTCAGAGAATGCCCGAGCCAGCTCAGAGCTTTTGGACTTGCTCAGAGATCATTTTCTCCAAGCGAGTTCAAAACTTCTGAGGCAGGCCGGATAAATGGGCATGGCAGGCCGGATCCAGCCCGTGGGCTGTAGTTTGAGGACCCATGGCCTGGAGCAGTGATGGCGAACCTATGGCACACATGCCACAACGGGCACGCAGAGCCCAGTCGCCCCGGCATCGCCCCAGCAGCCATACACATATTTGGAAAGAGTAACGGCGCCAGGTGATGATGTCACTCATTAGCCACGACACGCCGCAAGAGGCGGCATTGAACAGGTGGCCAGAGGAAGGCATATCACTGGCCTAGAGGATCTAGTTCTTCTAAAGAAGCAGAGAATCATACTTCCTGATACAGTCGTTTCTTATGTGGTTTCAATTCCTGTCAACTCCAGGTAAGGCTAAAAAGTGTTTTTGTCTGAAAATCCTAAAGAGCTGTTGCCAGTCTGTGTTGAAAATACTGGGCTAGATGGAACCAGGGTCTGATTAAGGAGAAGGAAGTCCTATATTCTTACACTGAGGGTTCACTTAAAGTCTGGGGATGACATTCTGTCATACGATCCACAATGACAGCCAGTGTGGTAAGGTGGTTAATGTTGAACTGGACACCTGAGAGATCCAACTTCTTGTCTCTGCCTTCACCTTCAAGCTCACTGGGGGACTCTAGTTCAGCCACTCACTCTCAGCCCAACTCCCTCATGCAGCTGTTACTATGAAGGTAAACTGGGGTAGAAAAGGACAACAGCTTCTCTGTGTTCCTCACAAGAGGTAAAAAGGCAGGATATAAATGCAATGTGATGATGATGATGATTCAGAAATGATATTATGCTAGAAAGCATAACACATGATTATTTGGGCCAGTCAGGGAAAGAAGGGTTGCAGAGGTGAATGACTGCCTAAGGGTGTGGTGTCAGAAGGAACATCTCACGTTCCTTGACCACGGCACCTGGTTTCTTGCCAATGGGCTTCTGGCGAGGGACCTCACAAGGATGGTGATAAGGTCCATTGAAAATGCACTAGCAAACTTCGTCCAAAGGGATTTAAAATGAACCTGGGTGAGGGGAAATGAACCAGGGGGGTACAGTCCCCCCTGCTGGGATGAGTGAGGGGAGAGGACCAGGTTTTTGGGTCCAGGGTGTTAGATGTATTGTAGGGGCTGGTGAGATTCTTACAAAGAGGGTGCAGGTATCAGGGAAGATGGGAGGAAGGACGCCTGGGGACCCAAAGAAAGGGATATGTAAGAAGGTGCTGAGAAGCATGTATACCAATGCTAGGAGCATGGGTAATAACCAGGAAGAGCCTGAGGTTCTCCTGGGAATAGGAGGTTATGACCTGGTAGGAATCACAGAAAAACAGAGTTATTGGCATATATTACCATCCACACAGGGAAAAAGAGGACAAGGATTCAACCTTCAAAAAGCAACTTGCCAGTATTTCCAAGAAGAATGATGTAGACATCATGGGGCACTTCAGTTTCCCTGATATACGCTGGGAGACAAATTCTGCCAAGCATGGCCCCTCCAAGAGATTCCTGACATGTGTTGCTGACAACTTTCTCCAGCAGAAAGTAGAGGAAGGTATGAGAGTATCAGCTGTCCTCAATTTAATACTAACAGAGATGGCCTGGTGGACAAAAGAACAACCATAGGAACTCTGGGAGAAAGTGACCGTGTGATACTTGAATTCTCAATTATGAAGGAGACAAAGGTTAACTGAAGGTAAAAACATACCCTGGACTTCAAGAAAGCCAACTTTAATGAACTCCGAAAAATGATGAACGAAGTGCCATGGCAACACACCCTTTAGAGGAAAGGTGTCCAAGGGGGATGGGAAATCTTGAAAAAGAAGATTCTCTAAGCACAATTATGATCAATTCCATCAAGAAAAAAAGTGTAGAAGACAGCCCACGTGGCTCCACAAAAGGTTAGATGACAGTCTGAAAGAGGGAAAAAAAACATGTACAGGAAGTGGAAGGAGGGCCAGATCATGAAAGTCGAATATAAGCCAACAGCAAGGAATTGCAGGAATTGCATCAGGAAGGCTAAAGCAGATAATGGACTAAGAACAGCAAGAGATACTAAGCACAAGAAAGCCTTCTTCAGATACATCCAGAACAAAAGACATGAGAAAGAGAAGGGTGTCCAGCTACTTAAAGTGGATGGCAAAGTGATAACAGAGGACAAAGAAAAGGCAGAGGCACTGAATTCCTACTTCGCCTCAGTCTTCTCCCACAAGGAAATCTGCAATCAAGAGGAAGTTCAAGCTGGAAGAGATGGCAGCCCAAGATTGACAGACAAATGGTCAAGGAATACCTAGGTGGAATAAACACTTTCAAATCACCATCCCAGAGTCATAAAAGATCACTCCATTCTTTGCTTTGAGATTAGGGGAATAGAGATGAATGACAGGTCAAGTATTAGAACCTGGGACTTCACGAGGGCCAGCTTTGGTCAATTGAAGGCCAGACTGGGGAAAGTCTCATGAGATAGGGTACTGAAAGGAAAGGAGTTGAAGAGTGGTAAATGGTGCTAAATAGGGAGGTCTTGGAGGTGCAAGCTTTGAAGATACCTCTAGTTACCAAGCTGGGGTGGTGAAGGAGAGCGCCCCCATGGATGAGAAGAGAAGTGGTAAGAGGCGTTAGGTGTAAGAGGAACCTTTGTAGGAAATTCATGCTGGGGCAAGTAGAAAAGGGGTATACCGGGAGGAGGAAGCCCGTTGCAGAAGGATTCTTTGCAAGGCTAAGGCTGATTATGAGCTGAGACTTGTAAAGAATATCAGGAGGAACAAAAAGGGCTTCAACCAGCATGTTATTAGCAAAAGGAAGGGAGACAGGCAGTGGGACTGTTCAATGAGGAGGAAGGGGATTCAGTGACTGATGTGAGGGAACAGGCATACATGCTAAATGAGTATTTTGCCTCCGTGTTCTCTCCAAAGCATGATGGGGGAGATCCACATGGGTTATTGGATGAAGCCAGGGATTTAGGGGCACAGATTAGAGTCACCCCCTTAGAGGTGGAGGAGCTCCTGATGGCACTGGATGTTACGAAGACACCAGGCCCCAACAGGTTACACCCGAGGGTACTTAGGGAGTTGGCAGGGGTACTCTCATGTCCTCTGAGCTCCATTTTTGAGGCCTAGTGGAGAACAGGTGAGGTTCCAGAGGATTGTAGAGTGGTGTCAGTGGTCCCAGTCTTCAAAAAGGGAAGCCTAGGGGTCAGGGGGAATTACATGCCAGTTAGCCTTATGTCCATTGTGGGAAAGAGAATGGAAAGGCTCAGAATTGGAAATGCTCTTGAGTCCCTAGATAGGGAAGGGAGGTTGGCGGCCATGCAACACGGTTTCCACAAAAAATGGGTACTGCCAGGTGAACCTTGTGGAATTCAGTGACAAGGTTTCGAGGTGGCTAGATGGAGGGGACACAGTGGATGTGGTTTGCCTGGATTTCAGCAAGGCCTGTGACAAAGTGCCGTATGATATCCTGGTTGAGAAATTGCGGAGTTTTGGGATAGATCAATGTACTGTTCGATGGATTAGGGCATGGTTGACTGACTGAAAGCAGAGGGTTACTATCAGTGGGGAATCATCAGAATGGAGGATGGTGACAAGTGGGGTCCCCCAAGGGCTCAGTGGTGGGACTGATCCTGTTCAACCTTTTAATCAATGACCTGGAGGAGGGGGTGACAAGTCTGCTGATTAAAGTCGCAGATGATACTAAAATGGGGGCAGTGGCCACAACTGAGGAGCAGACTATGGAAGTGGGCAGGAGACAACAGGGTGGCGTTCAATGTGGATAAGTGCAAGGTCTTGCACTTGGGGCATAGGAATGGGCATCGTAAGTACAGGTTAGGGGACAAGTGTCAGTGTCCAAGGTGTGGATGGCTGGGAATCAGCTCAGGGCATCAGGACCCAGACAACTGGCATGATAGACAGGCCAATTCCAAATCATAGTCAGGCAGTCCAGAGATCAAGGTGAGCAACAGAAGTACAAGGTAGGCTAATCTGAATAGAGCAGAGCAGAGCAGTCCAAGCCAGTCAGGAATCAAAAGCTAGAGAGAAGCTGAGGAGAAGCAGATACCTGGGACTGGACCGGAAGCTGGAACAGGTGAAGCCGGGCATGGTCCAGAAGCAGAGGTAGGAGCAAGGCAATGGGCAGTTTCCAGAAGACACAGGAAGCTCCAGCAACATCAAGACCCTTTGTTGCTGAGGCCACATCTGAAGGGAAGAGCCAGTTCTTATATAACTCTTTCTTCAGGGCCCACAGGTGGTGCTCGTAACCCAGTCCTGCAACCACCAGGGCTGCTATTCTGATCTCTGGCCAGAAGAGGGAGTCCTGGTGCTGCCTCAGAACCCCCCAGCAAGTGGTTGGAAAGCAGCACTTGTGAAAAGGATCTTGGGGTGCTTGTCAACTACAGACTAAATGAACATGAGCCAGAAGTGTAATGTGGTGGCCAAAAGGATGGACAGCACCCTTGGATACATAACCAGAAGTGTTGCTTCTAGGTCGAGAGAGGTATTACTGCCACTGTACGACTCTGGTGCACCCACAGCTGGAGTACTGCGTTCAATTCTGGTCCCCTCATTACAAGAAGGATATAGCAAGATTCAAATCAGTGCAGCAAAGGGCCACTAGAATGGTGGCTGGTTTGCAGGGTAAGCCATATGAGAAGAGACTGAGGAAGCTGAGGAAGAGACTGGGGAAGAGACTTTTCAGCCATGAGAACAGGAGACTCAGAGGGGACCTGTCAGCAACGTACAGGTATGTGAGCTGGTGCCACGCGGAGGTCAGTCATGACCCTTTTCCCCTTCCACTGGAGGGCAGACACATTCCAATGGAGCAAAGCTCAGGGAATCAACTTTAAGGGTGGATGCCAGGAAGTACTTTCTGACAGGTAGGACTCCTAGAGTATGGAATGGGCTTCCATGGGAGATTGTTGAAGCCTCACCGGTGAGGTTGTTTAGGGATAAGCTGGACATGCACATGATAGACATGTCATGAGTGGAGCCAGCTGGAGCCAGGGGTCAGACTAGATGGCCCAGGAGACCCCTTCTGACTCACTCTGTTTCTCTGTTTCTATCTTTCTATTTCTGAACTTGGCCAGCCTCTGCCCACCATTAATGGATTATTTTATTTTACTAATGGCTCACTTGAGTTCTTCATTGTAAATCCCATCCCTAACATTTTAGCTTTCCCAGGAAGGTTTTTGACCAAGGACACCATGCAAGTATTCAGTGTATTGAAGCAATACATTTCCAAGGCAACTAGGTTTTTATAATACAAGCAGTTGGCCTCCAGCTTAGCAGAGTTTAAAGAACTTAGCACAATTGCTGGTTCCCTGTTCATCTTCCCTTCATTCCTGTCCCCTATATCACCCTTAATGATCACCTTAATCACCCTTATGCTAGTGGCAACACATTCTGTGGATCACAGGAGCTGTGCCAACACAGCTCCTTTTAAGGTTCCAGGTTCTCCTCCTTTTTGGCTGAGATAACTTTTACCATTGTGTAATGCAGACACACTATCAAACGACTTATTAAACTACTTATTAAACAGTGAAAAGTAATATATATAAAACACCAGTATTTTCACTTTTAAAATGCATTTTTGTGTGTTCTTAATATAGTTACACAGTAATTCTAAAGCTGTGTTTGTGTCTGTTTAATCATGACAGAAAATGGGCTCAGTGTTTAGATTAAGAGAAAGTGCATATGAACAGGCTGTAGAGCTTGCCTCATACTAAAGGTAAATAAAAAAATTGTATTTTATTAGCATTGAAATGAATGATTTACATTCATATTCCCAACAATGATATATAATAAATAGCTGACAGATCCAATATTTAGAGATTATGTAATCAAATCTAAATTGCTAATTATAACTTCAGCATGAAGAGTTTTCACTAATTAAAAAAGGAAAAATATGTATAAAAGGAAAATATCTTTACTATTTACTATATACTAACAGGAGACAAAGCACCAAATCAGCATAGTATACATGTACTCTAGTTTTGTTTTGTTTTTACCTGTTGTCATGACAACTCCAGCTAGCACTTTTCTACGTGCATGGGGTGATGTAAAGTTATCCGTCAAATCGCTGAATTTATCTACTACCAAGCGTGCAACAGCATCAGCTAAAACCTGCAAAAATTATATTAAAGTTGAACAATGAAAAAGAACTGTCGCTACACATTATGTTTAGTTCTAAAAACTGTTTTTAAAATTTTCACAATGGATTTCAAAACCAATATAATAGTAATGTAATGTTAATTCAAAATATCGAACATTTTTGGTATTTGTTCAGATTATATCTGCCTTTTTATGGCAACCCTTGGTATCTGCTGTGAAACAGGAGTGAGGTTGCATATAGAGAGATTAAAGCAAGTTCCCAGCCAACTTTGTGCCACTCGGTTTTGAAAAGTTTGAATCTAATTACAAAGAAATGATCATGGACTTCATATATAAGTAGCTGAAGGGGCCTCCTAGGCCATCTAGTCTGACCCCTGGCACAAGCCAGCTCCGCTGATATAACGTCCAGCATGTGGGTGTCTAATCTTTCCTTGAATGCCCTCACTGATGGGGCCTCCACCACCTCCCATGGAAGCCCATTCCACATCCTAGGAGTCCTAACCATCAGGAAGTACTTCCTGCCTTCCAACCTGAAACCTGGTTCCTTGAGCTTTGCCCCACTGGACTGCATCCTGCCCTCCACAACAGGGGAGAACAGGTCACCACCCTCCACCATGTGAGGGTGCCTCACATACCTATATGTTGCTATATAGATCTCCTCTGAGTCTCCTCTTCTTCAAGCTGGAAAGTCTCAGTTCCTACAATCGCACCTCATATGGCAAACCCTATCCAGCTACCATCCGTGTGACCCTTCACTGAACTGATTCCAACCTCGCTATGTCCCTCTTGTAATGTGGAGCCCAGAATTGGACACAGAACTCCAGTTGTGGGCACACCAGTGTCTTATACAGCAGTACCAGCACCTCTTTCCTGCCATGCAGAAACTGAAAATACAAGGCAATAGACTGAAGAAAGAAGGGACCTTTTCAATTAAAGATCAAGGGGGAAGGCATCAAATCTGAATGGAAAGGGAGCAGAAAGAGTTTTTCATACCCTTCTTGGAAAACTAAAACGTGACTGGTCCCAACTTAACTAAACCAGATGTAGACACTGTTACACAATTCATCATGATTCACAGGTTGTGTGCTTTCTCCCTAAATGTTGGAGATTTTATAAGAAAAACTATCCTAAGGATTGTTTGGATCACATTCTCTTTGCTCAGAATAGATGCTTACACCACATGACACAGAGGATCCAATCCATTATCCTAGAATTGAATAAAAATACCTCCTCATTATAAATGTAATAGGATTAGAAATTAATTTGAAGGAGCCTGATTAAAAGTGATACAAAAAGCACTCACTTTAAGAATTGGGCCGTTGTCTGACTTCCCAATCTATGATAGATCTGGAATATTCTACATTAATATTCTTGAAAGGATAAAAACAATCGGCATTAGTTATAGATGTTTACATTATAAAAGGACTCATTGCAGTATATTTGAAAAAATAGGTCTGATGACCTGTTTTTAGGGGGATTTCAAAAATAGTAAGGTTGAAATGAGTAATAAAATTCCATACACAATTGTGATCATTTGGATGCAATTACTAGTGGCACTATTTCTCATTTATACAGCATTCTTTATTTGCAAAGTGATTACAATTGTTAATAATAACTGTAGGCAGCTTGTAGCAGTTCCATGAGGCTTGTAGCACAGGCATCAAAATGAAATCAAGGTCACCTAGCACACTTTGGGCAAATCTACTCAACTTTGGTTCATTTTCAGTATTTTCAGCTGAATCATGAATGTTAAATGTTATTGTTTTATATTTAGACTACTGTAATAATGTATAGGAGAGGGCTACCTACTGTTCTCTTCATCTCCCAAGCCATGGCAAATGGAAGAGTCAAAGAAGCTATCTAGGGAGAGCTTGGGTAGGCAGCTCCCATAGACAGCACAGGATTAGCTGCAACAGGGTACAGCTAGCCAGAGAGTCACTTCTCCTTCAACTCCTTCCCTCCTCTTGCATTATTGTTTTCTCCTTTGTTTCTTCAACTCCAACAATTTGATTATATGGCTGTTCTGAACTATTTATATTGTTGAAATTTGCTGACATGTCCAGCAAGTCTCAACAGCACAACATCAACTATGTTTGGGAATTCATGCAGGTGTGTTCGCCATTTGCTTCCTTTCATGATTTCTTTCTGCAGCATGGAAAGTTATTTCTTCTAAAGAGCATATCTATGAACTATACTGCACTGAACTGGAGGAATTCAATGTGTTTCATGCCACATAAGTCTCATATACTAGAGCTGAAGATCTAGCTAGATTAAGAAGTGATGGAAGAATTGTTCTATTGTTCTTTCTATCAAGACAGGGTGCCTTGTGGAGTATTATTGTCCTATAAAAGATAAGGGTGGCTTATCAGGAAAATAGCACTGTTGCTTTGAACACAATTAAGTTGGTCTATAACATCACAGGTCATAACAGTGCACAGATACATTTGTTTGTATATACTATTTAAAAATTCAACTTTAGTATTTTACCAAAAAAAAAAAAAAAAGCATGACAGTTCCATATAAATGATTATGTTTTCTCACCTGTGGGAGGTGTAACTGAAGTCCTTCACTAGGAATAGGTTGGTGAGATGGTGTCTGATCCAGTTGCATGTTAAACAAGGATGCAAGTGCAGACTGAGCTGCCCGTGCCTTTGCCAGTTTTTTGTTTCTTCCAGATCCTTCAAAAATTTGGCCATCCACTGATACTGCCATCACAAAATTCTTAGCATGACTTTCTCCACTTTCTGAAAGAAATTCATACTTTAATCCTGGTCGAAGCTCATTCAGTATCATGATTGGATTCTTCCCACTAGTCGATGGATATGGTGATGAAACAGGGAGAGATGACTGTATGAAGCTACTACCCAGAGCAGATGAAAGACTGTAGTCAGCACTGGAGCTAAAGGAACCATCTCCATTGGAATCTGAATAAAAGGAATAATCAGAATGGACTGGATTTTCAAACCCATTGAACAGTGTGTCTGGGAAATCTGCCTGGTCTGAGGTAAAGTCCGTATTGACTGAAAGAGTTCTCCCCATTGCTAGATGTGCTTCAGAGGCATTAGGAAACTGAACAAAAGACCTCAAAGCTTTCTCAGCAGCATGAAGCTTTGCTTTCTTTTTTGTAGGACCAGAGCCTTCAAACACTTGTGCATTAACTTCTACTGCCATCACAAAAATAGGAGCATGAACTGGTCCTGTTTGGGAGAGAAGCTTGTATTGTAAACCAGGTTTGATTTCATTCAGTTGCATCAGGGCATTCTTGGGCAAGACCGGCCCTGGTGTTTTCTTCCTCTTCTTTGGACGGAACTTGGAGTGGCCATTATTTCCATCTTCCAAAGGCCGTTTCCTGCTGCTAGTGCCACCACCATTGGAGAACTGATTCCCCTCCCTGGCACCTTGTACAGTTCCATCTGTAGCTGAAATGTTGTCCATGTTGCAGTTCTCCTTAACATCAGTGCTGCTCGAACCTGCGGTGCCCAGAAAGAGTAACTTACAATGCCTTCGTTGTAGGACCTTGTAAATGTAAAATTTACAGATTCCTTTATCTTTGCAACTGGTTAAGTGATGTGTGCTCAACTGTTAATAAGTCTATTAGATATATAATCAAATATAGATTTAATAGTACAAACATAGGCATTGATTAGGTATTTAAACATTTGGTATTCATAAGTGCATTTTTTTTTTCATTTTGTGCGAAGACGTGCGATTAGAACTACCCCTGTAATTCTAAGATGAAAACATACCTAGACAAACTGACACCTCATCTGTTATTCTTTTAGTATCTGATCAACTTCATGTTTCCGAATCCACAGGGCAGCCATACAAAGCAATTAATACTGCAACATCAGCTACATGTTTATCCTTATCACCTGTGGTCTTCCCTTGGGAAAAAAAGGTATCTCAGTCCATTTTAATGAGGGAAAAAACCCACTAAATTAAAAGCTCCCCCTCCTCTTTAATCAGGCAGGTAGGTTACAGTAGTATTTCAATGGTGTTTCTTAAAGTAAACTCATATTGTGTAAGGTATGAAGAGTTCACATAACTCATGCATCAACCATGCACACCAAGGAGAGCAGGAGCATATCCACTAGCCACGCCTCCTGCACCTACAGCTCACTGATGATGCCCTCAATGGGCACACTTATGTCAGCACAAAAGGATTCTCTCTTGCAGGTAGGAATCCTGGCCAATCCAGGTTCCTACTTTTTTGGGAGCCCCATACGTGGAGGACCCTTTCATGTTGAATGTGCTTCCACATGTAGTGCCAGCTACATGTTCTGGAATTTAGAAATGTGGCCAGCAGGTACACTGTTGCTTCTTTTTCTCATGTACAAACATCCATAACAAGATTTCTTTAAATATGTGGCGGACATTTCTGATAAAACCACATTGCCATAAATACAATTGTTTTTATTTTATGACATTTACATATCAGAAAGAAAAGGTACTTTTTTAAATATCCAACAACAGTAATTTTTAAACTGCCTGGTCAACCAATTCCAAAGCTATTCAACTGGATTATTTCTAACAGACTTAAAAGGACCTAGATCTATCTATATGTAACACTCAGTTTCCATCTATGGATACCCTTGGACTTTTCTCAGAACTGCAATGAGAGAAGGTTGCACATACACACTTACCCCATGTCACTAGGGAATAACCCTAGCAGCATGGCAGGAAAAGCTGCTGGCTGCGAAAGAAACAAAGGTCTCCTATTGGTTTTTCAGGTGACCACTGAAGTTATTACAAGGTGAAACTCTTTTTTAAGTCCAATTCTTTGCAACAATTGATTAATGGCAGGAGAAAGGGGTAGGATTTGATAAAAGGATTAAAAAAAAAAGTCCTGTGGACCCATTAATTGCTATGTAATTATGTGCAGATTTTCACTTTGGTAAATGTTTATTTACCAAAATGACACCCCATACTCATTCATCAGACATGCTCTTTTACCTTCAAGCTAGATCCAACATTTTACTAAAACTCATTAGAATACTTGACTGTTGCAAACTGCTGGTCAGCCATATAGTCAAAAATTCTGCCAGAAGATTAAAATAGATTATTTGACATTAGAAACAAGTCAGAAGATATGGGGAGGTTCTGGCAGCATATTCAGACTGAGATATGGAAAGATGCAAAAATGAAACAATCCATAAGTATAGGTAGCAGTAAACACCTCTCTAGAATATGCTATGAGCGAAGGATGTTGGCATTGCTGCCATGACTGAAAATCTATCTATTGCATGTTATAGCAACTAGAATAAAATAAATGAAATAAGAACTAAAAATGAACTCCCTAGAGACTAGTACCTCCTTTGGAGGTTGTGGTGGTGGTTGTTCTTATAATTCAACCATTGAAATTGCTTTAATATTACCATAATAATACAAATATTTACACCACTATTGTCTTGAATAGAATGACACTAGGGATAAGAACAGGAATAGCTTACTGTCCAGTATATTTAACACTGCCTGCATTGACATTGCATGTTCTGTCCATCATGGTCCTGGTCCACCAACAAGAATGGGGAGACACAGACTGACCTCTCTGCTTGAGCTGTTGTGTCTTCCTGTCCCTTCTTTCCTCCTACCTCATCTGGAAAAGCAAAAAGCTTTAGCTCTCTCTCCCCCTTGCTTTGAGAGAAAAAGTATGTGGTTCTCTTCCTCCTCTCTTAGCTAACCAGGTAATAGTGAAGCAAGATATCCCATGTGAAGATACCAACATCTCTCCTTTCTGCAAGTCACATATGGGTAAGTAAATAAACCATTTTTTTTCCTTTTGTTAAAGTATGAATTCTAATAGAACACAGCCTCTTAACTAAATCCACTGTTTAATGTTTACCTCTGCTGAGCCTGCATATAACCTGGTTATACATCAGGTTCCCACAACTTACTTGGGTCCCAGATGATTAAAAAATAGTTACTGGAAATCATTTGGACCAATTGGATTATAAGTAGATCTAATTTGATGCAGCCACATCTCTATTTTTAGCTGCCTTTCCAGTGAAAGGAACAAATTTCAACATGAACTAATAAGTACTTAGAGGCCTGTTGAAGTACATATCACTACACAGTTCATAAACAATGGCTATCACAAGCAATCATGCCATTGCAAAATGTTTTGGACTGGTGTATTCATTCAGATAATGAATTATATCTGATTGTCAGGATGCGGAGGGGCTCACTCATTTTCCCATGGCAACTACCAGAGAGTCACCAGAGACAGCGAGGCATGGTTGGAATCTGCTTGGGAGAAATAAGGCATGGGACTCCATTTGTGAGAATGTGCAAGTGCATGCACAGCTGCGCGGGATTGGTGGCCGGAGCAGGGGCAGCTGTGTTGGAGAAGGGAAAATAAAGGCAGCACTGAGACAACAGGAGGTGGTGTACAGAGGAGGAGAGACTGAGTGAGAGAACAGAGGGAAGGGAAGGGAAGGATGAGGTGGCGTGCAAAAGCAGCCTTTGGAAGAAAGCTGGAAGTGGCTGGCATTGCTGCAATGCGCAGACAGCCATTCTGCAGCCAGGGCAGGTGCTGCGCCCAAGACATGCAGCTCCCCACCTCCCCAGAGGCGATGTCGCTCTTTGCCTTAGAACCAGGGGCAAGGAAGGGTCCAGGTGAGGAGAAGGCTTTGGCGTTTTGGGCAGTCGCCACGACAGAACCTGTAAACCATCAATAAAAGAACCTGCTGGGTGAGCAGGGTTCCTTGTGAGTTTTACAAGGAACAAGGCACCTTCAACACTCCCCTCCCTCCTAATCCTGTTACAATGATAAACACAATTAATTAAAAGGGTATAAGAAAGTAAAAACAGAAAGACTACATGAAATGACAAAAATGAGTGGGGATCCATGGTAGCTTATTTCCTGGTATCTATTCCAGGAGCAGCTGGTATCACCAGATGTCAGCTGGAATCAGGATGTAACACTCTACTTCCAGATATAGTGCAAGGAGAGCTTATTTGTAGAGAGGAACTCCATTTTCCCATCTGAACATCAGGATTGCTGGCCAGATGTGTATTGGGATTGTGCTTGAAAAAAGTGCTTCCCCCCCTCCCCTCCACATCCACAATCACATCTTGACAGATCTGCTGAAGTCCTTAAAAATCTGCAGGACGTGGTTGCTTTGAGGGAGCAGAACAGCGATATGAACCAGATCTCTCTGCTGCCCACCCCACTAGCTGATTTGCTCTGGCTCTATTTAAAGTGGACTACTTACTCACTGCTTCTGGTGTTTGACACCAGCAAAGAAAAGCAGCAGAATGCTCCAGAAATGGAAAGGAAAAGGAGCAATAGGTCGCCTCTCCTCTTAGAATGGAACCATGTGATACAGGCATACCCTGAAAATCAATGAGTTCAAATTCTGTTGGTAAAATTACTTAAACTACTTATTAAACAAAGAAGGTGGACCTCAACAGAAATGAAAAGTAGAGCCAGATTAAAAAGCTTAGTACTAAAGTTCTAAGAATGTTATTTTGGGGGCACTAACAGGGTCAAATAAAAGTTTCCCTAAGGATGATTGGGTTAAGCTCGAAGAATTTCACTTTACCTTGTCGACAAGGCAGACTAGCTTGCTTGTGTAATTTCATTCTATTGGGACTGATGCCCACCGCCCACCATCCCATCCCATCCCAGTGCCTGCACTCCTGTTTGAACTTCCTCACTGCTCATTCAGCAGTGGTGGTATAATTAACCAGGAGCTGGGCAACCCACTTGGCTCCCTGAATCATTAGCGCTCTGCTGCTGTCATGCAAATTGGCAAATCAACCTTAGCAGCCCCCATAGTAATATTGCCCCCAGAGCTCTGTTTGGGACTGGGGAGGGGCATTAAAGGCACCTTGTCAAGACTGCCCCCACAAAAGCCAGGCCAGATGCCTGCTTCTGCTCCAGCTGAACTGTCCCCCTCTTCCATAGCAGGGCCACCTGACATCAGCTGACCTTCAGGAAGAAGCAGAAGGGCAAAGGCTGATGAACGCTCCAGAATGCTCCATTCTTTGAGCTGGTTTCAGGACCCAAGTCAAAATGAGGAACATAAATCTAATAAATAAATACATTATCTTCTTATATCAGGACAGAAAAATAGAATAGGTAATCTTCACATCCTTTTGTACCATAAAAGTCTAGGATTCAAACTGTCCTATTAACTAAACTCCTTATCCTGAATATTAACACAAAATTTTAGCCAAATTACAATTGTATACATACAAATCAAGGATTCCTGAGGTCAGTAAGCTTCTTTATTATAATGTTGCCTATTTTTATGAACTAAATATTTCATGTGATATGTTTGATTGGAAGTAATCTGGAAATTCATTTTCTAAACTTTTTGTTAAAGTGCAAGAGTTCCTTCAGGTATGTTTAGTGGACTTCTACTCATGAATAAATCAAATAAAAAATAAAATTATATTTTGCAAGTAAGTGATTTCCAACTTCATTTTCATACTATTAAGGAAGCAAAATTTGCTCTTCTGGATAATATATTCAAATTTGTCTTAAACCCAACACTGAAAGGCATGCACACACCACTTCACTCAGTTGACAAAGATTATGGAATAGTTATTAAATTTTCATTTATAACATCCTCCAGCAAAAGCTTGATAGGTTACTCCTTTTGGTGCTCAAAAAACAGAAAATTAGAAGAGATTGGATAGAAACATACAGGTTAAAAGGTTAAGAAATAAATGACTAAACAATATTGGCAAATAAAAGCAACAATTATCTTTATATTTCTAAGAATGAATTCTTTAGGTTTGGTATATAATGTTGCATATGAAGCACTATTCTGGTTGTATTACATGTAATAATGTTTTCTTGTAAGCTATGGTCAATCTAGCTTAGATGAATTCAGTTTGTTTCAAGCTGCAAATACCAGATCTTCAGCATCACAAAAACAAAGCCATTTTTTCTCTTCAATACCTAGAGCAGGGTTGCTAAGCTGATTTTTAAAAAAATTAATAGCCTTGACAACACTACTCTAAGTTTGAAGATGAAAGATTAATATAAATCTGTCTGTGGTTCTTTAAAAAAATCAGAATAAGGTTAGCCATTTCTGGCACTCCCACATCAGTTCCACCATTAAAGATCATTTTCTTACTTCTTAAAATATCTTGTTTGCTGAAAATGTACACACTTCCTTTCCAGTTCTACAGCTTATAGAGGATTTTAATTTATAGTATTTTCTGAATGGGGAAACAAACATTCCCTGAAGCAAGATCCAAAGCAGGATTAGGGCTAGAGGAAACATTAAATGTTACATTTGCAATAATCTAAGTAATTAGTGCTTAAGCAATTAGATTTTCTTTCCTTTTTCTTTTTAATACAACCTAGTATCATGCTCTCTCACGGATGTGCACCTTCATATGGTGAGGGGGTTTGAGAGTGTCAGAGGTATCAAGAACAATGCTGCCAGGAGGCCAAACTATCTCCCTAAGCTGGTCTCCTAGAAGGGTCACCTGAGGTAGAATAGTCAATGCTGACACACCAGACTAAAATGCACCCACCCACTTCAGGAGCAACAGTCACATCAGTAAAAAGTAATGCATATCTCTAATGGACATGAGGATAAAAAGCCTTCTGAAGGGTAGCTACTGGACAGCAGCAGTAGTTGGAGACACTGGGAGATGATCTTTCATAGTGACATTCAAGCTACTTTGGTTAGTACTGTGTAGAAGATGGCAATGGTAAACCACTTTGAATACTACTCTGCAATCCTTGTGATGAAACAAGAGATAAAGCCGGAAGTTGAGACTCCCAGGTTGGAAGGCACTCAGCCAGCTACTGAGGAAGAGCAATGGACAAGAATGATAGCGTTGCCATTGATGATGCAACCAGATCAAAGCTGAAAGGATGTTTAGTAGCTGATGAATAGACATGAAAAGAAAGTCTAATTGCTGCATAATACATACAATTATGAATCAAGGCAAACTGGAAACCAGAAAACAATAATTTTAACAGTTAAACTTTATAGTATGTTTTGTGTGAATCAACTAAACTAAATCAGAATAAGATATTTTCTGACAGACTAACATAAATTATTTTCTTCTGGAAATGACAAACTCGGAAAAAATGGAGTGGCTTTAATAGCAATCAAAATTTGTGGAAAAGCTATCAACATAACCATCATTCAAGTTTACACTCCACCAACAAGTGTCAAATTCAAAACTTTTCTGCAGACATCCAAGAGGAAACACATGAAAACATGACATGCTGATAATCATAAATGACTGGAACATTAAAATAGGAAATTCTCAAAATGTGGTGTGAGAATTTGGTCTGGGGTTCAGAAACAAAGCAGAAAAACAACTCATAGAATTATGTGACTCTAACAACCTGTTTCTTGTAAATACGTATTTCAGGCAACTGGTTAGATGATTGTACACATGAAAATCCCCAGATGGCCAATGCAGAAATCAAATAGAGTCCACAAATGAAAACAGGTGATGTTTTCTCACTGCCAAAAGAAGACCAGGAGCAGACTGTGGTAGTGACCATCAACTTTTAATAGGAAAAATCAGAGTAAAACTGAAAAAAGATTATTAACAGACACATAGTGCCAAAATGCAACTTCAATAGCAATCGTCAAAAATAGCTCATATAAAGAATATTTGCATTATTGAACTCAGTTGACCATGAATGTGAAGAACTGTGGACTGAAACTAGAGGCAATATTAAAGAAGAATACAAAAAGACAATTCCTGTAATAAAAAAGAAAGAAAACGTCTAGATGGATGATTGAAGAAACACTCACAATTGCTAAGGATAGTCAAGAAGCAAAAACAGAAGTGAGAAGAAATAGGGTTAGAATCCTGAATGCAACTTTTCAGCAAGTATTGTGTAGAGGCAAAAAGAACTATTACATTTGCCAGTGCAAAGAAACAAAAGGGAACAACAAGAGAGGACAATCAAGAGAATTCTTCCAGAAGATCCAAGATCTCAAAGAAAAATTCAAACCTAGATTAGGAATACTGAAAAACAAAAAGGCAAACATACTATCTGATCAGGAGGAAAAAAAAGAGAGAAGGTAGAAACAATACACCAGCAAATGAGGGCAGAATCCTTGGAAGAGGTATCCTATAAAGAAGAACCTGCAATAGTAGAAAATGACATAACACTATTAGGATAGAATATGGAGAATTGTTTCCTGTAGGCAAAGGCATCACACAAGGGTCCATTTATCTCCCTATCTGGTCAATCTGTACACAGAACATATCCTATGGAGAACCTGATTAGGATCAGAGAAAGCAGGAGTGAAAATTGGTGGAAGATAAATCAATAATTGAAGAGATGCAGATGATAACATCTTACTAGCAGAAAACAGCAAAGACTCATGGCTCCTGATGAAAGTGAAAGAAGTGCAAAACCAGTACTGGAATTGTGAAAGATTTTGAGCAGGACTATGAAAGACATTTGGGAGGACATTCATTAAAAGGGTCACCATAAGTTGGAAACAATGCAATATAGGAACAACAGTATTGCTCCAAATTAAGTAAAAATATACCTTTGGAAGGAACAATCCTGTGGCCCACAGGCATTGTCTGAGAAGCCATAGGAAAATTCCAATTCCCAGCTGTAAAGTTGGAGATGATGTTCCAACCAAACTAGGAAGCTGGGAATTGGAGTTCTATCCTTTCACATCTGGTGTAGAAGAACTGTGTCAGCTGCTCTCTGAAACTGGAAAAGAGGAGGCATTTTAAAGGGACATTTCGGAGAAAGGAAGTAGACTGGAGTAGCCAGGATACAATGCATCTTGAAGCCCCTCCAGATTCCTGCTCACTCTTCCTCTCTGAGATGCTGGCACTAGATGGCTGAAAACAGTTTTCAAGCAAAATGCAGAGTAGAAGAGTGAGGAGGAGAAAATCATCTCCACTACTTCTCTCATGAGCCTCCAAGCTTGAAGAGTTCTGCTCATCTTCGTAGGGTTGTGCTCTAAATTGATTTTTTTGTGACTATTACCCACTGAATTTTACATATACATATTATGAATTTCTCTTATGCTACATAAAAGCACATTTAACCTCACTTATAAGATGTAGGAATAAAACTATCTGGAATACAATTTTCTTTGAAATCAAAGACCAAAATTACTGATGTATTGTGGTAAATACCTGAAAACTCAGTCCATTCTAATGTTGCTGAAATGTAATTTGAGCTCTAAGCACATTATTTAATCTGTGGTCTAACTAGGGGTAGACAGCCACAAATATAGGAATGAACATTATAATTAACTTTCGTTCATATAATTAGAAGATCATATTTTTCCAAGGAACCATGGAATTAAACTGTGGAACAGAAGCACTATCAAATATTCTCTTGGGAATTAAGCCAAAGTCTTAACTGTACTTTTTCATTTCCCCACTCATATCAGTTGCTTCCCACTCTGTGGCAAGTATAATGCCCTCCATCCCAACTACTCCTACCTTGGACAATCCCAGTGAAAAAAAGAATTATGTAAGAATCACAGAGATACACAGTACCATGTAATCAATCCAATTTGACAACTTAACAAAGCAACCAAATTAATTCAGAATTTGTAACCATGCTGTGCACATTTCCTCCCATATTTGTAGCTGCTGTAAAATCTATCAAATTGAAGAAGCATGTGTTTTGAAGTTGCACCTATGTGTTACATAGTTGATTATTTGTTAACTCATTAACAGCTGCAGTTGGCACAGGTCTTAGGATTGGTACACAAGGTTCTTGGGATTTATTGCACATGGTGTTGGGACTCATGGATTTGGGACACCTACCTGGAGGCAATCTCCATCTCAACATGCATATGTGTTTAGACCCACATTAGCAAACTATTCTTTAAAAAGATTCTTGAAATGTATTGTGTGAGATGAGAGAACTCAACTAACAAATCTCAAAATGTTGATAGATCATTTGCAACTGGTCTAGTCCTTGAGGGTTAGGGATGAATAAATATGCTGTGTTGAGTATTTGATCTTGGAAACCATTTTTCATTTAAGCATGAGGATTCTCTCTAAACTGCAAAACTAAACATAATGATCCTAATTCTTTTGACCTATTGTTATATTATTATAATTATATAATATAATTAATCTTTTTGATTATTGATATTATTAAACTAATCTGGAGCACTAAATTGACAGCATGCTTTCCAACATCACTGTGGTGAATTTTGGGTATGTCTCATTCTAAGTATTTCCTTTTTCCCAATGAGACATCGATTGGGCCTCAGTTAGAAGCCAATGGATTATGAACATGCTGTATTGAATTATGTTTTTATTGATCAGGATAAGTATTAAAATATGACTGGAAAAAGTAATATATCAGCTGATTGACAGAATAATAAAAATTGAAGTGCAAGTCTAAGTGGTCATTAACAGTTGTAGCAAGCTCATAAATGTCACCTGTAAAACCAACATAAATACCAGTTTTTGAAAATGATAAACCAGATAATTAGGTTAATTCGCAAATTTGTTTGATTCCAATAAAGGTATTTTTCTGACCCAGTAATTAAAGAATTAATTTCAGACACAAAACCTATTATTAAACAACTTATCCCAATGTTGGAATTTTCATACATGGAGATGAAACAGTCAAATTAGACAAAGTAATATAGATAACAAAGATGTTTGCTGGTTGTGTAGAGTAACAAAATATAAGAGGCACATGTAAATGAACAATAATATCCCTGTGTACTAGAATCAACATGCACAGGCAAAATTTATGACAATCCAATGGTGGTAACATTATAACACTAGCCCTACTGATCTTCCATGAAAAGTATATCTTGATCTTTTTGTACTACCAAGAACCTCCCTTTAATAAGCTCTGTAAGGATTACTCATACCAAGCAAAGCATATAATGTTCTTCCCAATTCAAGAGCAATTTAGAAAATACCATAATAATTAATAATTATTAACAATTATTATAATTAGTGTGGAAAAATATTCTGTATTTCTCATTTTAGTGTCTCAAAAACACTTTGATAATACACACAAACCTCATTCACAGTTCATAGTTCATTCACAGTTTACTAGAACTAATTATTTTGAAATATTATAATGGGTATGCAAAATTCTGTCTCATTGCATCCTATCCTTTCCCTGACATATAACACTATGCCCCCTCCCCTCTTTCCCTTCCTGTCCTTTCTAAGCAGGTCATTCCCCTCACTGTTTACATTCCAGTCTTGCCTTTACCCCACCAACTTTCCATGACCCTCACCAGGTCATACCCTCCTATTCCTGGGACAGCCTCAAGCTGTTTATTACCCATACTCCTAGCATTGGTGTACATGCACCTAAGCTGCTTCTCACAAATCTTTCTTTGGGATCCACAGCCTCCTCCTTCCTCCCATCTTCCCTGATACCGCCCCCCTCTTCATAGGAGTCCTGCCAGCCCGTTTAGTACTTCTAACAACCTGGTCCCAAAACCCTGATCCTCCCCCCTCACTTGTCCAATCAGGGCAAGTTTCTGGGGGGCCTGAACCCACCCCCCGGCTTAGTTTCGTCTTCCGGATGAAAGCTCACTAGAGCATTTCCAAAGGTCTTTTCCCCATCCTTGTGAGGTGCAGCTCGTCCTTCATCAGAAGTCCATTGGCAAGAAACTGGGCACCATGGTTGAGGAACCCGAAGCATTCTGACACCATACCCTGAGCCAGTTATTCACCTCGGCAACCCTCCTTTCTCTGGCTGGCCCAAATCCCTGAACCAGTAAGACAGAGGAAAAGTCCTCTTGGGCCTTTAGGTCCATGATTTTCTTGCCCATTGCTTCAAAGTCCCTAGTGATCCCACCCATCCCCTGCCCAGTTGTGTCGCTCATCCCCACGTGGATCACCAGAAGCAGCTGGTGACCCCCAGATGGAAGCACTCTTCTCTTTCTTTCACATGCCAGATGCATGCGCCCAGCAAGCAACAGACCTCCCTTGCCTCAAGGTCAGGGCAGCATACCACTGCCTAGAGTCAGTGGAGGAAAAAAAGGATACATATTCCATAAGGCAATTATTTCTTTATCATGCCTCCTTCAAACCTCTTAAGCAGCCCTGGGTGAGATCTTCACTCTAATGACTCCGCAAGCATATGAGAACAAATATTTATTTTGCATTATAAGGTTCTTCCGTATATGACCACATGACCTTAAGAGGAAGCTCTTCCAGTGACATGGGGTGGAGAAGTTTAACCACCTCTACGTGTGAGTGGAACAATAAAATGGAGAGGCTGCTGAATTTCTTCTCTCTTGCTGGGCTTGGGCTGAGAAAACATATGACAGACACAGGGCTCTGAGGTAAGAATCCATCAGACCCTTAGGACTGCACTCTAACAGTGCAATTTTACACATAATTACCCAGGCGCGTATAAGAGTGCAGCCTATTTCCAGGACTGTGCTCATTGTCTGTGAAAACATTTTAATGTGCTTTCACTATTATAAGATGTCATATTTCATACAACATGAGTAAGAAAATTCTGGTGATTTCACTTGGGCTTGAAGTGGAACATAATTGACTGGGAATCAGAAAGCAACAGCAATGACAGTCTGCAGAAACAGTAATGAATTTTAGTATCATATATTATACACATCTTACTCATATTCTCTTCATCATCTAAGTCCATTATGAAGCAGTCCTTCAGCCTTCTGCACTGGTATAGACTAATTCTGAAAGACAAAAAATGTTAACCTTAGTTCTTTATGTATATTAAATATCTGAGCTCAGGCAATTATGCCACAAAAGCATGTTAGATGTCTAGAGTGTTAGCTCAGATTGATAATGTCCCTTCTTAAACTCAGCTATACGGATCCAATATTAAGTATTTATTAATTTATGTGTTGTATCCTTCAGATAAACAAATAAGATGTCTGCTTTTTATCCTCTTAAGTCAGGAAACAACAACTGAGTGTTGAGTTGTTGGCCCAAGATCACCCACTTCAGCATAATTTCAGAGTATGAGTAAAAAGCTGGATCTCCCTGCTCTAATATCTACTATGTGAAACACGTAACATGAATAGGACTAGACTATGCTTCTGTCTCTTGTTCCTTATTCTGTTAGTTCTGGGCTGAATGTCAGTGTCACGGCTATCTTATGAGCTTCGAAAATCTTAATCTGCTAATCATTATCTAGCGGCCTGCATGCACGCCTTCTTTAACCATGGCTCTTCCTCAGCCTTTTGGAAATGCAGGTGGCATACCTGTAACTGTAGTTCGAGTGGTCATCCATGCATACATACATGCAACCTGCATTTCTTCATTGTGGTCTCTGGGCATCACACATATAGGTGATTAGCAAGCAATCCAGATTGGAAGTGGGAAGTGTCAGTACAATTACTTATAAATCATAATAGAGAAGGCATGAATTTTGCCATGCTGAAGTGATTGACCTATAATGAAATTCCCAGCAATTTTCAATTATCAAAATGTGGTGCAATTAGTCATCTATCAAGCCATACTGTCCTATTATTTACCATATAAATATTTGTCCATTAATGTCCATACCTAGTAAGAGCTAATCATTGAACGTCCAAGAGTTAGTGTAGGATGGAAGATAGTACTGCTCTTCCAAAGAAGCAGTCCTTTCTCACCCTAAAGTCCAGTTTGAAGTATTACTTCCAAATCACGAGAAGCAGAAGTTCCTCTATACTCCTCACTAGTCAGACCTCACCTGGAATACTGTGTCCAGCTTTGGGCACCAAGATTTAAGAAAGATGCAGGAAAATTAGAGAGGGTCCAGCAGAGGGCAACAAAAATGATCCAGGGTTTGGAAACACTGCCCTATGAGGAGAGACTGAGGGAACTGGGCATGCTCAGCCTTGAGAAGAGAAGACTGAGGGGGGACATGATATCCCTCTATAAGTACCTCAAAGGCTGTCACAAAGAGGAAGGTCAAGATCTCTTCTTGCTGATGCCAAAATGCAGGACATGGAACACTCAATTCAACTTGCAGCAACCCAGATTCAGGCTGGACATCAGGAAAAGCTTCCTCACTGCCAGAGCAATACAACAGTAGAACCAGCTACCTAAAGAGGTGGTGGGCTCTCCCACATTGGAGACATTCAAAAGAACCTGGACAGCCATCTGAGTGGGAGTCTTCTTTTCTATGATTCTAAGACTGCTAGAACTAACACCAAAAATGATGTCCTTGTCATCATGAGGGATTGGAATGCTAAAGTAGGAAGTCAAAAGACAACGAGAATATCAGGCAAGTTTGGCCTAGGAGTACAAAGTGAAGCAGGGCACAGGCTGGCAGATTTTTGTCAAGAGAACATGCTGGTCAAAACAAACACTCTTCTCCAACAACCCAAGAGACGACTCTACACATGGACATCACCAGACGGTCAACACAGAAATCAGACTGACTATGTGCCCTGCAGCCAAAGATGGAGAAGCTCTATGCAGTCAGTAAAAACTAGACCAGGAGCTGACTGTGGCTCAGATCATAAGCTTCTTATTGCAAAAAGTAGGCTTAAATTGAAGAAAGTAGGGAAAACCACTAGGCCACTCAGGTATGACCTAAATCATATTCCTGATGAATATACAGTGATTTATTAACAAACAGATTTATTTTTCCAATGTTTTTGGGAAACCTTTTTATTTTCCCAATGTTTTAAAACCTAACTGTTTTAATTGAGGTTTTTTTAATTAGTTAAAAAAATTAAACACAGTGTCCTAAAATTTATTTTTGTATTGTTAAACCATGCCAAGGCTTCAGTAATGGGGCAGTCTACAAAAGTTTTAAATAAATAAATAAATTTAAGGTATTAGCTCTGGAAGACAGAGTACCTGAAGAACTATGGATGAGGGTTTATAACACTGTACAGGAGGCAGCAATTAAAACCCTCCCAAAGAAAAGAAATGAAAGAAAGCAAAGTGGCTGTCTGAGAAGGCTTTACAAATGCCTGAGGAAAGAAGGGAAGCGAAAGGCAAGGGAGAAAGAGAAAGATATACGCATCTGAATGCAGATATCCAGAGAATGGCTAGGAGAGATAAGAAGGCCTTCTTAAATGAACAGTGCAAAGAAATAGAGAAAAACAATAGAATGGAAAAGACTAGAAATCTAGTTTTGTCGAATTGTGTCCAAATCTTGTTTCATGCAAAGATGGGCATGATAAAGGACCAAAATGGCAGGGACCTAACAGAGGCAGAAGAGATTAAGAAGAGGTGGCAAGAGTACATGGAAGAACTATACAAGAAAGATCTCAATGTCCATGATAATCACAATGGTGTAGTTGCTGACCTTGGGACAGACATCTTGGATTGTGAAGTCAAGTGGGCCTTAAGAAATCTGAGCAACAGCAAAGCTAGTGAAGGTGACGGTATTCCAGCTGAGCTATTCAAAATCCTAAAAGACGATGCAGTAAAAGTGCTACTCTCCATATGCTAGCAAATTTGGAAAACTCAGCAGTGGCCACAGGATTGGAAAAGGTCAGTTTACATTCCAATTCCATAGAAGGGCATTGCCAAAGAATGTTCAAACGACCATACCATTGCGCTCACTTTACATGTTAGCAAAGCTATGCTCCAAATCCCACAAGTAGTATGTGGACCGAGAACTACTAGAATCACAGGCAGGGTTTTGAAGAGGCAGAATAAGTAGGAGAAATACCAACAACCTCACATATACAGACGATACCACTCTAATGACAGAAAGTGAAGAGGAACTATAGAGCTTCTTGATGAGGATGAAAGAGAGTGCAAAACTATTAGTGGGGAATCATCAGGAAGGCGGCCAGTGACAAGTGGGGTCCCCCAAGGCTATGTCCTGGGACTGATCCTGTTCAATCTTTTCATCAATGACCTGGTGATTAGTCTGCTGATCATATTCACAGATGATACTAAAATGGGGGCAGTGGCCACAACTGAGGAAAGGGTACTCCAGATCCAGAAGGATCTGGACAGACTATGGAAGGGGGCAGGAGACAACAGGATGGTGTTCAATGCAGATAAGTACAAGGTCTTCTGAATTGTAGTTGGGGTGGTTCCCAATGAAAATGATCAAATGAGAGTAGAAAAGAGAAAAATCTAAGTTTATACAAAGCCCCAACTTCCCAATAAAGTACAGGTACTTTTCATGGAATAAAATGAGTCTCATTTAGACAGTGCTACAGTCAGCCAGTCCTCAAGGTAGAGATAGACCCCTTACAGGCATAAACTGACACAGACTACCACCATGCACTTTATGAAGCTCCACAGGTCTGTAGACAATCCAAATGAAAAAAAAACAGAAAACTGGAAATCTTCAAACCTGAAAGTATAGGAAACAGCTATGTCAGTCATCTATGGAAATATGGAAGTATGTGTCCTTCAAATCAATGGAGGTGAACTAACCTACTTCCTGCAGCAAGGTTCAGCATATGGAATTTCTTCAGTGAGCTCAAGGAGTTGATGTCTGAGATCTAAGATCAGTCAGAGTCCTCCATGCCACTTTGGCACTGTAAAGTAGTAGTAGTCATCTTGGGGTTGGAGAGGAGGGACCTGCTCTATAGCACCCTTCAATAGCAGTTAGTCTGCTTCTGTAATCATGGCTATAGATGGAGCTGCACTCCTTACAACCTCTAGACTAAAGGGTGGCATATAAATACAAGTGATAAATAAATAATACAATACTAAAACCAGGAGGTTGTTGAACAATTCTGTACCCTTGTTCCACAATGGATAAGACCTAGGCATCTGATCTTATTGTTTCCCAGGTGGGAAGAAGAAAGACAGGCTTTGGTCAAAGACTGGGGTATGGGAAGTAGAACTAGCCCAAGGATATAGTCACAGCTTGCACCTGTTGATGTAAGAGCACCAGCACCTTATTGGTACCTTGGGGCAGCATCCTTTCATCTAGGATGAGATGCAGATTGTCCAAATTAGTAGTCCATTTGTTCTGAGGTGAATGGGGGACTGACTGGTATGGTACCACATACAGGATGGTCTATATCAGGGGTCTCAAACTCAACTTACCTGGGGGCCGCATCAAGTATTCCACCACCGCAGTGGTGGTGGGCCGCTCATCCCGCGTCGCTCCTGGAGGCGCTTTGAAGGCCGCAGGGCCCCTCCTCCCCCGTGCCCCGCCCGTCCTGGCAATTGGCCCGCAGGCCGCGAGTTTGAGACCCCTGGTCTATATGGTCCCAACAACTGCTGCTGATTGAATTCCATCCATCAGACTGTCATATGGGCTTTCTGGACTGAATTCATTGGCTCAGTCTTAATATTAAAGAGTGTCTCCCATTTGAAAGGCAGGTCCTTAATATGGGGGCAGGTCTCCTGTGACAGACAGCAGAGCATAGCCACGTGTGCCTCCTCAACACCAGCACTCTGAGCATTGATTTTGCTCTACAGTTGGCTTGTTATGAATCTGCTGGCAGAAGAGGCACAATGCTTCTGCTTGGAAGATTCTGACCAGTTCTTTGGTCCTCTGGGAGGTTGTCACAGATGCAGCTGATTTTGCACCCCCTCACACACCAAAAAAAAGCTTGTACTGAACCATGGCAACCCAGTTGCTCACTACCCACAGTCCTAAGGTAGAAAATGCATAAATTCACTTCCCCAGGTTGTGGCCTTCCCTGCTGACTGGCATGGAGTGCTCTTGACAAGACTGTAGCTGGAGCTTGAGAGATGGAGGAACTGGTCACAGACTGGACAGTAGAAGAGCAAGAGGTGATGGTTGATGTGGTGGTTTCTGGAGTGGTATGGCACCATCAGCCATGGCTGCAACACAGATGCCTGGTCACCAAGGATCACAGGGCAGATGAGCTTCCCACACATAAGCATGGGGAAATTGGGGCCTCAGAAGAAGGTACCTCTCTCTAGCTTGTCTGCCAAGGGCTAGTTCCAGAATTCCACATCCGGGAACTGCCCCTTGGAGTCCACCATAGCTTGCAGCACCTTGCTGTAGCACAGCTTGTAGGTGAAGAATTGTGTGCCTCTGGTTGAAGGTGGGGAGGCAAGATGGTCATGAGCAGAGTCTGAGGAAACCACAGCTTCTGGAAGCCCCACATGTTCTACAACTCATCCACTAGAGACAGGGGAAGATGGTGACAGAGTAACAGACACAGCTCAGACACAGCTCCCACTTATTTTGAAGAACTGAAGCCACAATTATGAAAAGCGAGGATATATCTACAGCCAAAGTGGGGGAATAAGAAAGAGACGGCCCACTACAAGCCCCAGAGAAGAAAAGCTGAAAAGGGAGAGGAAGAAAAAACAGCTTAGAATTGAAAGCTTCCTCCCCTCCAATGAGGCTACATACGCTGTGTGTATTGGGAACAGGACGAAGAACAGACTTGTTACATTGCTAAAACCCCCATCACCAGTTCAGTCTATCAAAAGATGAAAAGCGGTCCATTAATTAAAAATCCAATGACGGAGAATGCAGGAATACAAAAACCTTTAGGCCGAAGAGTAAACAGCCACATGACAGAATATACTCTCCCCTCACAGCTAATAGCTTCTCCCAACAGTTAGGTGAAATCTGTTTTATATCTGCAGAAATTCTAGTTTTGATTCTAGAGTGGTTAAATAAAATTGAAAGGCAATTGGGAGTCTTAATCCAAACGCATGCCCTCCTAGTACCCAAGTTAGAGCAAAGGAGTGAGGAGGAGGAAGATGCCATTGTTCCACGCCCCAATTCTTTCAACTTTGAGGGAACACAATTTGCACAACGTAAGACTGATGGGAGAGTAGAAAGAGTATTCCAAACAAACCAGGCCCTAATATCCTTCCCAAAGAAAGATGCTCAACTCTGGACAAATAAGGAAAGATTTCTTACCTCTCTGCCAGACTCACTGGATCACGTTATATCCTTGCTGGATTTAAAATGCTTCCACTTTCTACCATCAAATGGACAGCAAAAGATTATTCCTAGACTTTAAATCAGCAACTGTGCCCTTACAACTTATTCACTCGGCACAGTATCTGAGAGGGTATGACATAATCCCCCAGAGAGTCTTCAAAGAAATAGGAGTTAGAGCTCCTGCCTGAGTTGGAAGGGTTAACCATAGCACCACTTCATCACTGATAATTTGAACAGCAGTGGAGGAGGCCAGCCTTGACATGGAAGACAAACTGCTAATAAACAGTCACTGTGTGCTGGCTGGTGTCCAGCCAACCGAGCAGGATGGACTCTTAAAAGGAAAGAATAAACTAGATGAGCTATTAATGCCAATGAGAATCAGCATACACGAAGAAGACCTGGTCTTGGCAAGAGACAGTGTATTTCAGATCCTGACTCTTCCCCTCAGTCAAGCCTAGTCCTTATGAGCTCCCTGGATCTAAATCTGGATACCTCTGCTAACAAACTGTGATATGAAGCTAACTGATAATGTTGGACTGGATAATAGACCACTTCATTCCCCATTAAGGAAAATCCTAAGCCATAACAGAGGACACGGAAGCGGAACTAGAGATGAAGACATTGTTGGGGACAAGGGAGTTGACTCCAATAAGGTCTTTGGATGAGATCCAGACCCTGAGACCTCAGAAAGTTACTGAGAAATTCACAGAAGGATTTCCAAAATCAGTAAGAACTCAGCACTGAGCCAGATGAAGCTGGAACTTCAAGAGGGACAACTTTGGCCTGCTGAAGGCCAGACTGGGGAAAGTCTTCTGGGATAGGTTACTGGAAGGCAAGGGAGTTGAGGGTCACTCAAAAGAGAGGTTTTGGAGGCATACACCTTGATGATACACCTCTAGTTAGTAAGGTGGGGAGGCGAAGGAGAACGCCGTTATGGATGCAAAAGTAAAGAATGGAGCTGAAGGAGAGTGCAGCCATGGATGCGAAAGGAGGTGGTTAGAGGGATCAGATGCAAGAGAAACCTCTGTAGGAAATGGGTACTGGGGCAAATAGACAAAAGGGTATACTGGGAGGAGGAGGCCCGTTGCAGAAGGATTCTTCGCAAGGCTAAGGCTGATTACGAGCTGAGACTTGCCAAGAATATCAAGAGCAACAAAAATGGCTTCTAGCAGCATGTAAATAGCAAGAGGAAGGTAAGACAAGTAGTGGGACCACTAAATAAGGAGGAAGGAGATTCAGTGACTGATACAAGGGAACAGCCACTAAATGGCTTTTTATTATATTATTATTATTATTATTATTATTATTATTATTATTATTATTATTATTATACTGCCCATAGCCAAAGCTCTCTAGGCAGTTGACAGCAATAATCATAGAATCATACACTCAAGTCACCCATCCCGCTTCTGCCCAGGCCTGACCCTGCTTAGCTTCCAAGATGTTCTATCCAAAGCAGGATGAGATCCACATGGGAGATTAGATGAGGCTGGGGACTTAGGGGCACAGATTAGAGTCACCCCCCTAGAAGTTGAGGGGCTCCTCAGGGCATCTCAAATAAAGTCACCTTGCTTTATGCAGCCTTTATAGACCTCAAGGCAGCTTTTGATTCCATCTCGAGGGTCAAACTATTGAAAAAATTAGAGGCCTCCAACATTTATAGGCACCTACTCCTACTTACTCTGACCCTACATAGAGGCACCTCCCTCAAGGTCAGATGCAGCACACATGGTCACCTCACAAATGCTGTTCCAGCACAGAAAGGGGTCAAACAAGTCATTCTTGCTCCACTTTTGTTCAACTTTTATATCAACGCACTGGTCAAGCAGCTAAACCACATCAATCCTCCCCCCCCACAAAACTGTGGGGAGGCATACAACTATACTACTATATGCAGATGATGCAGTCCTTATTTCAATGAAATGGCAGAGGGGTCTTCCTCCATGAAGGGGGCAGGGAGGGTGATGTGCTTTCAGAGAAGAGGCTGGGGGTCAGGGAGTCAGTATCCATGTATGTGTCTGGTCTCCATGATGCAGGCAGAGGTTATTGGGTTGACAAGACAGGAAACCACCATTTCCACTATGGCTTGTCTGAACCTGGCAATTAACACATTTGAAAAGACCATTTTTTTAAGGAGCCAATCCATAACAACATCAAGACCAACAATAAAGAATTTCATAAATATATCTGATGCAGGAAACCAGCTAGGGAGGTGTTGGGCATTCAGTTTAAAAAAATACTAAAGGAGGATAAGAAAATTGCAGAGATGTTGAATGAATTATTTTTATCTGTCTTCACCACAGAAAAGGAAGAAGAGACACTGCATCTGAACTATTGTTTTCAAGAAGAAAGTCCAAAATCATGAAACAAATAGCAGTGACAAAAGATGAAGTTCTCTGACAAACTGAAAATTAGTTTACTGGGCTCAGATGATATGTGAGTGTGTCTAAAGAAAGTCCCTAAAATCAGGCCCTATACCAGCAGACTAGTAAATGTAAAAGCTATTTTTAGAAGTAATTTTGGGTGGTTCTGGAAAAGTTGGCCAAAAGCATCATTAAAGATAAAATTAGTAAGACAAGTCCTGCCAAAAAGTATCAATATGGCTTTCACCAAAGTAAGTCTTTTCTCACTAACATGTAGAGATCTTTAATATTGATAGTATCAATATGTGGACTGAGTGATCTGATAAACTTCCAAAAGGTTTTTGACAAAAACCATCACCAAAGACTTCTGAAAATCTTGGCAGCAATGAAAAAGAAATAAAGGTCCTCTTACGAATCAGTCTCAAAAGGCAGGGAGTACCAATCAATGGTAAATTCTCTTAATGGAAAGACCTAAATAGAGCAGTCCCACAGAGATCTGCATTGGGACTATACTCATATATGATCCAGAAATAGAAGTGAGCATAGGGTAGCCAAGTCAGCTCATGACACTGAATTATTCAAGGTAGTTAAAACAAAAAGGGATTGTAAGGAACAAAAGGGGATTATAAAGGGATCTCTCTGAGTTAGGAGAACTGACATCAAAATTGCAAATGCAGTTCAGTGTAAGCAACTGTAAAGTAATGTATATTGGGCCAAAAAAAATCCAAATTCAAGTATAGGTTTGATGGGATCTGAGCTGGCAGTGTCTGATCAAAAATGAATCCTGGGGTTGTAGTGGAAAACTCAATGAATCAATGTACAGCTTCTGTGAAAAAGGAAAACACCATGTCACACTGTTTCCCCGAAAATAAGACCTAGTATGATTTTTCAGAATGCTCATAATATAAGCCCTGCCCCAAAAATAAGCCCCAGTTAAGATTGCCAGCCAGACAGACATGTTTAGTACGTCCATTGCAACACAATTCAGGGTTTGGAGAGTTATGACTATGTTCTAGAAGATGACATGACTGTATTTGAATAAATGTAGATTTTTGTACATGAAAAATAACACATCACCTGAAAATAAGTCCTAGAGTATCTTTTGGAGCAAGAATTAATATAAGACCTGGTCTTTTTTTTTTCAGGGAAATATGGTAGGCACAATTAGGAAAGAAAAAAAATAGCCAAGGTTATACTCACCTTACAGAAACCTATGCTGCAACCAGACATTGAACACTGTGTACAGCTCTATGCATCACAGCTGAAAAGGAATTTACACAGTTGGTAAGTATATACATTACAGAAATGTAATGAACAACAACAACCCTATAAGGTAAATTAGGCTGAGAATATGTGATTGGCCCAAAGTCACCCAGCTGGCTCCATGGCTGAGTGGGGACTAGAACCCAGGTGCCCTGAACCTTTAAGTACTGTCAATCTATTATTTGAAGAATGGCATTAATGTTTGTAAATAATTCCCATTAACAAATATCTTATTTTGTTGATTTTTAAATTCTGCCTCTAGAGATGTGTGATGAATTTGCTCTGAGGATGGGAATTTGTTGGATTCCCTTGGCTCGGCTTCCTAGACTCTGACCTGCTTTCTTGACGCCATGAGTATAACTTGGTGCCAAGTGTTTACATGGCAATCACCAGGCACTGAGCCCCAAATGGAACTTTGCAAGTGCCCTCTTCCGTGCACTTGATTTATAGCCGTTATTTGTACTGCATGAGCTATGGAAGAAGGCTGCCGGTTGTGCAACTGGAGTTCTATGAGCATTTCCAGACATCTCAGCCTGGCTTGCTTCCTAAACCAGGATCAAGCATGAGGGGAAGTTTGATAAACAGAAAAGAGGTAGATCCCAAAAGGATCTCACAACCCTAGTTGCCTCTAGTGGTGTTGTCATTGGAAACAAGCTACCAAGTTTCTTTTAGACAGAGTGTCATGAACTGTGTTTCTCCCCCCCAGCAAGTAATAGTCTCTCCTGTGCTTCTTTGCCAAACATCTTTAGTTTACATGCAATACACAAAGCAGTATGTCAAACCCTCTCTGGCTTTCTTCACCCAAAGCTCTCCTTACGAAACCTTCTGCATCTGTCCATGGGGGAGGAGTGCTGTGGGACTGGGCATGCCTGCAGTCCTCCCTCAGAGACCCCAGTTGGGCCACCCTACAACTGTGACAAAAGACTATCAGATCCACCTCCTCAGGAGGCAGAGGCTCCCCATCCAATAGACTCATCTCTAATTGCCCTCCCTCCAGTTGCTGTTGCCCTTTCTGGTTCCCACAGGTGAGTTGACTGACCCCTTCAGCTGCCCTTGAACTATTCTCCCCCAGAGCAGACATAGACAGATACTCAGGCACTTGAACTGCAGCTGGGACTGTTCAGCAATCATCTCTGAGCCATCAGTCCCACCAGGATGGGCAGTCTCTCCTACACACATTTCATCCTCAGATTCTAAGCTGTCAGTTCTGCCAAAACAGATAGCTTCTTGTGCACACACCTGAGGCTTGCCAAAACACACACTCAGGACCCAGACACAGTTTATTCTTGTGGCAACAATTACAGGTTTATAGCTGAAGCAGCATTTCTCCGCGGTATCGTCTAAATAGCAATATTTTTAGAAATGGCAGCGAGTTCTACAAAACCATGCTTCAAAATTATTTGTTTTTAGAAATGAAGGTTATGGTGGGATAATTTATATACTGCTCCATCTGGTGGCAATACAAGACAACCCACAGTGCTTATTTCACTGTAGTTTTTAAATAAGAACTGGATTAGATGCTGCAGCAAGTCAAATAACCACAAGCCCAGAAACATAAGGAAGTAATTGTACTTCCTACAAATAATTTCTAAAATTTATGTAATGAGGACACTTAAGAAAAGGCTAGGAATGTGAAATTCCTGGAAATAATGAAGCCGTGGATGAAAATGTTTTTTTTTAATCTTCTCCAGAAGATACCCAGGTAGTTACTTCCATTCCTTATTTAAATTATTGATCAAAGGTATAATTTACTGATATTTAAGGATGTTCTTAACACTTAATATTTTGTATCCAATATTTTAATTCTGTCCACGAGATTTGCTGCTCTTCCAGTAAAAATCACAGAAATTTAGACTACTGTTAAAGAAAGCTACAGTAGGAGAAAACACAACACAGTGGTGCCTCGGCTCACAAACGCCTCAGTTCACAACCAAATCGGGTCGTGAACAGAAATTTCAGAAAAATTTTGCCTCAGGTCGCGAACTCCGCATTGGGTGACGATTGCAATCACGCCTGTCTTCCCTGCACAGGCGCAATTATGGTCAAGCTTGTGGGGGAGATGGCAACAATCGTGCTTGGGGGTGGGGGAGATGGCCGCAACTGCACCCATCCTCCCTGCCCAAGTGTAACCACACCCGCGCCTATGGCTGTGATTGTAGTCGTGCTTGTGCAGGGAACACGGACACAACAGTGGTTGTTCTGGGAGGGGGGGGAGAGATAGCAGTGATCATGCTGGGGGGGAGATGGCTGTGATCTTTGCTGTTGTCACTTTGCTTCAATTTTTGCGATAAAAAAATAGTTACAGAACGGATTAACCTTATTTACATTGGACCTTATGGGGAAATTTGACTTGGCTCACGACCAATTTGCATCGTGACCAGAGTCCTGGAACAGATTGAGTTCATGAGGCAAGGTACTACTGTATTTCTAAAAGTCAGCCTATTTAATAATATACCGGAAGCAAAATGGAAAAGCATCATTAAGATTGATCTATCAGTTAATTTTATAGACATGTTTTACTGTATACAGGCATAAAAATGTTATAAATAAAATACCTCAGTTCATGAACAATTCAGTTCATGAACAATTCAGTTCATGAACAGAAAGTTTGGGAAAATTTTGCTTCCGTTCGTGAACTAATTGGGTGGCAAACACGATTGGGGCCATCTTCCCCACACCACGACCGTATGTCAGAGCATGTTTGAGTGGGGAAGATGGCCACGGTCATGTTTGTGTTCACATGGTCATGAATGCGGCCATCTTCCCCGCTCTAACACATGGTCGCGACTTCCTCTAGTTGAGATCACGGTCGCAGACTCCCCCTCCAAACAATAACCTCCTCCCCACCTACCTTCCTGGCCTCCATGCTTCAAGCAAGGTCAGTGTTCTCTCTTCATACTCTACTGTACTTTGTTTCATATTTTTGTGGTTTAAAAAAATTGACACATGGTTCAGAATGGAGTAACCTTATTTACATTGAATGTTATGGGGAAATTTGACTTGGTTCGCAACCAATTCAGTTTGCGACCCGAATCGTGGAATGAATTAAGTTTGTGAACTGAGGTACCACTGTAATTTCCCCTGTTGGGTAGAGCTCAATAAGCTGCTTTCCCACTTGATACAATGGACAGGAAAGCTATGCACATAAATATTTAGTATCAACCACCATTTTAATCACTACTTAGGTAGGGAGGTTGCTTATATGTCATTGTTGTTCTTCATATAGTCATCTGTGCATTCACATATCTGGGTTCTTTATCTGCATGGGGCCTGTAGTAAGGTTTATTAGCTAGGAGCACTTTAATGGAAACCCCTCCAGTTGATGGATTATGTGAAACTTATTTTATTAAATTTTCATGAAATAAGTTTCTAGCCAAGTTTTGTTTTTTACATTTGACAATTTGAGAACACAAAGTTTGTCAATGGTATTTGTTGCCAAAGCCATTCTAAACAAACAAAAGAATCATTAAGGGTGAGCTATTGTTACTACTGCATTTTTCTCAAAGCCAAAGCTCTCTCCCTGTTGCACTGCTAAAGTAAAAACACAAGATACAGAGTTCTCACATATCATGGACTCAAAGTTTCCCCACCCAAATTTCCATTCTGTTTTAAGCTTATTTATGCCTTACTAACACTCAACCTAAGAACTTTGTTGCATGATTCATAATTATCCAGCATTCAGAAAAAGAACAAGGCAGCAGCTACAATTCATATCCAGGAAACAGCTGACTTCCCTTCAGGATCTCTATCCTACAGCTAACCTTCTGGAGGCAATAGATAAATACAGTGTTATTTAACAATATTTATAAATAAACTGGTCCCTTATTTTTATAGACAGTGAAGGAAGTGGCAAGGGAAGATACACAGACCATACACTGAAAAAAATAAAATGTGGCTACATAGTTGCAATTGCATGCCTTAGTCGTCTTTATAATTGGGAGTCCGTGCAAGCAGGAAAAAAAGCATATCAAATGCTTTACCACATCTCAACTATGTAACGCAACTTCATATCCCACATTGCTACAGCCATAAACATTGGTTCAGAAGCATAAATTCCAGCCAAGGAATTTCATTGTTTTAACAAAAATAGAGCCCCATGACACCTATATACAATTTTATTATTTTGTTATGTTATTTTATAAACTAGACCTAACAAACTGATGAGTCTGCCATAGGCAACAAAGGATTCTTTGTTGCCCAAATCAGGACAGATTAAAAATATATATCTGAACTCACTATCAGGAGTATATACCATTCTATAGGAGATGGAAAGGTTGCACATATTTATTTAAAACATTTTTATGCCGCCCCCATCGCAACAAAGCCAGTCTGTATTCATTACAGAAGTATTTGGATTGTCATTCTGGAAGATACGAGCCAACAAAAAGTGCTGCTGGCCACATGCCTCAGCACGTACCAACTTCCTGATTTACTCTATAATATGTAGCAAGAATTAATCAAGCCCTTGGAAGGATGGTTGTTGAATTCCAGTCATGAGAATAATCCCACCAAGTTCCAGTTGTTCCTATCAAGTCATATTCACCCTCCTGTATTAAGAGCTTCCATGCAGCCTTTGTTGTTAAATCCAGGTGTGTGGTGGCAGTTGTTAAGTGGTTTCTAGAGGTCCAAGACTGAAAAGTGACACAAGTTAACCTCCTGCTCTTGCTACTTTATCAAACTTAATACATAAGTTCATGAACTAATATATTACATCTGTTCATCTGATCTTGGCTAAACACCCTCAAAACTCTCAGGCTCTTGCAAACAGCATACAAATATCTTAAATAAAACTCTTGACAACTGCATAATTGTTTCAAAGAAGCTATTCCAGAATTTTATATTTCTTAAGATGCACATCATCATCACTACTGCAATTTTATCCCACCATTTTCCCCTTTTGTGAAGGGCGACTCAAGTGACACTACCCTTCCTGCCACAAACTTATGCCACTTCCAGCTCACCGTAGTTTTGCCATTGTAGCAGCTCAGCAAAGTGCAG